ACTCAGTGCTCTGGGCTGGGTGACAAGGTAGGGATTGGTCACAGGTTGGACCTGATGACCCTGAAGGTATTTTCCAACCTTAATGATTCTGTGATTATTTAAAAACAAAAATAATCCCCTTTTCCCCAGTTCCTCACACACAGACATACATGTAAAATCTACAATATCATTGTAATTTATAGTACAAGTGGGTCTATGGGTTTGGTAGAATCTATATTGTAGTACATAAGGTTTGCTTTATGATATTTATGATGTAACTCCTTTACTCTCAGAGGATGTGGAGATCTTGCATTATCTTTGACAGCCTTAAAAAGCCCTTCAATATGAAAGGAATAGGTCTCAGACTTTGTGGGTTTTTAAGGAAAAAAAATAGTGTAATGCAAATCGCATGTGTTTGGTTGCCTGTGTTGGTGGTTTGTTCTGGTTTTTTTTTTTTTTTTTTAGTAAAACAGCCTTTGTCAAACATAACAAGTAAACCTGGAGATTTGAAAATTTGTGTTGTGTGCAGGATCTAACTTTTGCCAAGACCAAGAGCTACCAAGGCAAATGGTTGTCAGAACCCAGGACATCCCTCTGGATGCCCTGGATGGCTCAAAATCCTGGCAGGGGCTCGGAGACCCTGGCAGGAAGCCAAAGACACCTGGAAATTCAATCTCAACCCATGGAGCAAATTGCCAACTTTATATGAAGAATTACAAGTCACAAAAGTTTAAGTAGCATAACAGTAGTTGTTACAGGGTGAAAGGTGGAATTTTGAATAAGTTTACTATGGGGGTCTAGGAGACAAGATGGAGGGATTTGGGCATTGTCCTGTTCTTCTCCCTTCTTCTTCCTAGCCTCCATCTTCTTGGTGACGGTAGCACTTCGGGATTGCTGTAGAGTAGAAAGTCACTGTCTAACATAGCTGATAGGTATTGGAACATGACTGTAAATATCGGATACGTAGTTTATAGTATAAAGGACAACACCAGCCCGGGGGTGGGCAGGGTATGCCTCAGACTGACATGCAGAACAGACCTCAGCAGGCCAGACAGAAAATGTTTTAGATAAGAAATAATAAACAACCATGAGAACGACAGCCGAAGACTTCTGATTTCTTCTTCGACAGCTGGGTTGGGGAAAAGAGACTTTTTAACACTCCTCGGGGTCACCTTGACCAGAGGAGATCCCAAGAAATGGTAGCATTGTATTTGGTGCCTCTGCCTCCACCATGGAGCTGTTGTCCCTCAAAGGTCAGAAGCTTTGTAAATCCATGTTCAAGGCCTGTGGCTTTCTACACCTTTTATAGAGATGAACTCTGAGGTCTGAGATTTTCTCATCCTTCTCCATATACAGTTGTTCACCACTTAGATTGCTCTGTTGAAATTTTGCTGTATATATTTTCCACAACACTTTTCCCCATAGAAACCAGGAATGATAACTTTTAAGAAAAGCTGTGGAAAATATTTCAAATAATACTAAGCTTCTACTGCCTCCCCTCCTCTCCCCTTAATAACAATAAATATTTTAAACAGACAGAGAATTTACCCAAAGAACAGGCTGCATTTTCTATGACATTAAAAAAAATAAATAATAAATTAAGTCTTTGCTAGTTCATTACAATTGTCTTGTTAGATCCATTAATTTTTCTTTCGATAAAATGAGCAATGTGTAATTAAAATAAAAACCAAGAAAACAGCAAGCTTTTTTTTTAAAGTAGGGTTGTAACTGTAAGTAAAATTAATCTTGAAAGCTGTGTCAGTCTGATCTTTTTATATGGTGGCACGAGTTCTGACAGCACTGTGGGGATTCTGTCACTGTGACAAATTTAGAAGCAAGATATTCCATAACTTAGATAATCGACTCTGAATTTTTTATTAGCATAAAGCCCTGGTGTAAATTATGTAAGTTGGTTTAAAATCAGTCAAGGAATTTATCCAGTTCAGCACAATGAGAGGTTTTCTCCAAAACAGCCACTTTAGTGGATGCAATGATGGTGATTTCAGCTCTTCACCTAAGAAATGGAAAAGACAAGGAGTCTGCAGGCATCTCCCTGAGTCTGGCTAATAAGTGGAAACTCATTATGGTCCAGGGCTTTGACTGCCATAAATGCTGTAGAAGGGCACCTATGGATTGGCCCACTATATGGAAAATGGCAGAGAGAGCTGCTGGCAGCTGAAATCAGAACAGCTTGTTGTTGTGAGCAGGGTCCAGAGTGCAGCCACCTTCCTTTCCTGGTTAGTGAGTTAAATAAACCAAGACAATTCAGGTGAGAGTGCTCAGCCAGGACCTGTTGCAAATAAATCCACACTGCAGTGCCTGTTGGGTAATGTTCCTCACATTGGTGAGTCCTAATTTATGAAAACCTTTCCCCACACATGTTATTCCTCCACCATTTTGGTTCTTTTGGGTTCAGCTGGCCAAGCTGATAGAAGCCCACCAGGGTGTGGAAATCAGGGTGGGGAAATCCCGCCCGGGCCATGGAACAGAACCAAGAAGCCAAAACTCAGTGGTTTTATTAAGATCCGCTTAGAATATTTTGCATTCTGCCTCTCCCTCCCCAAAGCCATCAGGTGAAGCAGCTTCTGCCTTTAAGCTGCCCATCCGCCATGGTCAGGCACTCCCCCCGCTCCGGGGCCGCGGGGCCACCAGCCCGCGCAGGGATTCCCGCCGCCAGTGAGTGCCCCGGTAGCGGCCCCGGGAGCCCAAGAGGGTGGTGCATCCTTCTTCGCATTCCTCCCTGCATCCTTCCCCGCATCTCTCCCTGCATCCTTCCCCCTATCCCTTCCCGCATACTTCCCCGCATCCTCCCTACATTCCCCCCTCCCCCCGCCTCCGCAATGCCTCCTTCCGCCACCGCATCCGCTGCCAGGGCGGCAGTGCCGGTGCTGGCGGTGCCATGCCCGCTTCGGCCCCGCACTGCTGGCACCTCTGCAGCTGAATCACCCTTGGCTTGGGGAGATGTCGGTACCAGATTTCGTCTTCTGGAGGCTGACTGGGAAAACCGGTGACGTCCTGGGCGTGGGGGTACCTGAGGTTCCGCCTGTGGTTGTTTCCATACATTTAAACGTCCAAACATTCCATAAATTCCATTCCATTGAATTCCTGTAATTGCCATTTTCCCCCCCTCCTTCCGCCCTCCTTCCCCTTGACAAATCGAAAAGCCCTGATACAAAATGCCAGATCAGGGCTGACTGTTCTGACATTTCAGAGCTTTTAATTTTTCTTAATCCTTTAAAAATGCATTTCAAAACACTTTAGCTTGTCATGTAGAGAAATGAAAGCATCCCGTTTAGAAACAGCAAAATGAAACATGCTGGCTGATTCCATGTTTATTCTGCCTTATTTTTTTCCGTCCTGTTTAAACAATTTTGTAGAAAAGACAGAACTGAATAACAGTGAACTAAATATTCATATTTTGGTGAAGAAAATTGTGACCATAAATATTACTCACTTCTGTCAGAAATTAAATGTATTTTCAAAAATATTACATGACAATGCTATTACATGACAATGCTATTTCAATCTATTACATGACAATGCTATGATTAGATGGGTTAAAACTTTTTTATTTTTAAAAAAATCTTCTTTAATAAACATAGATATATTGCAGAACTCAGAGACTTTCAACCCATAATCTTTTTTCTAAAGCACTTCATACATGAAAAGGGACAAAATAAAGGGGAAAAAAAGTAAACTCAAGTAAAAGATTTTAAAGTGCATTGGAGAACTGTTGAGGTCTATTGAAGTGTAAAGCTGTGTTGGTATTTCAAATCAATGGGAGCTAACAAAATGTACTAATTAGCTCTGAGGTTTCTGATTTCTTATCCCTACAACAGTCAGGTTTGAAACATCAGAGAAAAAGGAGCAGCCTGGGTTTGCCAAGGTTTTGATAAATCCTGCAGTGTTTGGCCTCAGCCATCCAAGTCCATTCTCAGCGTAGCATTCTCTGTAATGCCATCCATGGAAACATCTTTGACCTCAGTCCCTTGGAAACCATTTGCTCTCTAATGATCTACATGCAATCCCTGGATTCTGCGAGGTCTAAGCAGAATCCTGTCCCAAGGGCCTCCAGCTTCAGTACTGACTGACAGAACAGGAATTGGTCTGGGTGGTCCTTGTGTCTCCCTTCCAGCTCAGGCTATTCTGTGATTCCAACAGCTGTACTCAAAAACCACCTGCCACATGTTTGGTGCTGCACAAGTCCCAGATCTTTGCAGTTTATGGCCTCAAATTGTAAGGCTCAAGTGAAACTGTCACAATGGAAAAATCCAAACCTTTGTTCATCTTTGTTTGATTGCCCTGTGAGAAAATGAGCAAACAAACCAACTGACCGCATGTGGGCTCTCTTGGGACTTCTTTACCTCTAAATAAACATATATCATGGATTTTGCAACTAAAAAAATGTTATCCCATGTAAATAAGGGCTATTGTGCTCAAAACTGTATTCCTGGTATGAGCATTGAATTAGTTTGGAATTTTATTTCAAGTATTTAAAAAGCCATTTCACAAGAAGCAGACCTGTGTGATCAAAAAGTGAGATTTGGTCTGTATTTTAAGCAGAAGAGCTGGAGGGACTTAGGTAACTGAGTAAAGTAAAATATCTGAGTAGACTTTTCTGCTTAATATGGTGGAAGTCATGCAAAATTATGTTGTTAAATTCAAATTATCCAAGATTAATTACATAGAAATAAAAAACTGAATCTCTACAAGCTTGCCAAAAGTTAGACTACCTTGTCTAAATCAATTACTTCAGAATAGCCATCTGCCAATAGTCCATGTACTGCAATGCAGCTTCTTGGAATCTTACTGCTTCAGAGAGGGAAAAATGAAAATAAAAGCAAGTAGAAGAAATCCCAGGGGACTGTAGCTTCAGGAGGCAAAAAATTGGTGCTTTTTGCTTGCCTATCTCTTCCCAGTTTCCTGCCCCCTTCAGCGAGTGAGAAAGGCAAGAAGAGTTTGTGCACTTTGGAAACTCGATAGGAGGCAGCAGCTGATCTTCCCATCACCAGCCTAAAAATAATCCACTCCAGGGCTTGGAGCGGCTTCACTAAGTGGAGGAAAATCCTGCCATCGGGATGATATTGATCACATAGCACAACCGAGTGACACTTTGGGTTGGTATTTTGGGGTTGTGTTTACAAAGGTAAGCTGCAGTGTTTGATCTAACATTCAGCAACCAAACGGGGCATGCGATGACCCTCCCCCCATTATCTCCCACTAACCACCTCCTCTTCCTCCTTCCCTTTATATCTGTGGGACAGGGCTGCTCCTCGTTCTTTCCTGGGATTACAACTCCAATCTCTTTTTCCTTTTCCATTCCCAGGCGTTCTCAGCCTTTACCTTCCCCTCCTGCTGATGTTTTCTTTGCTGCTGTTCGCAGGGTTATGTTTCTTTTTTTAAACTGTCCTGTCTTGGCAATGTGAAGTCGACGGTTTTACAGCAGGCAGCGTAGCACGCTGGTGTTGGCGATCGCATTGTGTGGAGAAGCTTTCCAAAAAAGAAAGAAAGAAAAAAAAAAAGCGATGCATTTAGGTGTGTGAGACCACTGCAGATGTTTGTGTGAAATGCTTTGCAGTGCCAATAGCCTGTTTAGCACCACAGCCGTTGTGATTTTGCCTGTGTTTGGAGCCTGATCCAGAAGGCTCCCGAAGTCAATGAGATTCTTTGCATTGACTTCAGCACCGTTTGGATCAGGCTGTGGCACACGGCAATTAGCTCTGCGAATGCTGACAAGCACCAGAGGTAATTCATCATCCTGAGGCCCAGGGGAGTTGGGATAGCGCTTAGCAAGGGAGAGGGGTCTGTGGAGCTTAGGTGGTCACAGCTTAAATAAGGAATAAAAAGAAAATTGTATTTTATATTGGGTCATTTTTGATAAAGTAGATTTTAAAGGGACAGTGCTTTCTGCCTTTACCTCAGCAGCACTCTTTGCAAGACTATAGATCACATGGGTTGGGTTAGAGTGCTTTTAGGAAGGTAAGAAGACCAAACTAGAAGGGTTCAACATAGAAAGGAAAAAGATTCAGAGCACTAACCTAAAATCTGTGAAAAAATTCAGAGTTAGGCCTTCCATTCAAAGCTATAAATTAACCATTTGTCCTTAGTTAAAATTTACTATGGGAAATTCTAGAAAGAAAGACAAATTTAACTTTTTGTAGAATACAAGAACTAAGTACTTTTGTAAAACTCTATTTTCTTCACCCTGCACCTATATTCATACACATATGTATATACATACATGTTTATATGTATATATGAGCATATAATGCACATTATATCTAAGACCAACATGAAATTTGATCTGAACTGAGAGACAAGTATGCTCTGTAAACAGATATATTTTAACTAGGAAGTGCAACTATCAATTTATATATTTTTTTTTTAAGTATGGACAAGAGAACTACTTCAATAAATGTTTTCAAAATATTCTTATTCCCCCAAACAAGCTCCACCTGAGGAGTGTACTTATATTTTTTTTTTGTAGTCATAAGTACCTTGCAGAGCATGACGATCAGAGTGATAATTCAGGTAAGATGAAACTCTTGAATATGAAGATTTTTAAGTCCACTTTAAAAGACCCTTAAGGTAGTTAAAATGTCTTTAATTAGGATTCTTATAGTTTTGTACTTGGTGAGGATGTTCTTGTAATTTTAATGGAAATTTAGATTATAATTTTTCCACTGTCTTCTTCGGAATTGCTTATGGAAAATATATCTCATGAACTGGCTTAGTGCCCTGAGAATCCCCATTTATGCTTGTTAAAATGAGATTTGTGAGTGTTTAGAGTTCAATGTTTTGTCATTTCCTTGTTTACGACTTTGACCTATTTTCTTTCTTCCCAAAACTTCTCTCTTCTTCACAGTGAATATTTGTTCATTAATCACTTTTGTTCTGTTTTCTGTTTATTCTCTTATGACTGTGTCTGTCCACCTTAGCCTAAAACCAGGAGGTCTTAAGTTGCCAGTAATTGGGATCCTAGCATAAAAATTTAAATGCTTAAAGGACGTGAGGGATTTTTTACCTATTTCATTGAAGGGTGAACTGCTGTTCAGATAGTTCACATCCTCATTAAAGTAAACCAACAGGGAAGCAGATTCCCAAATGATGTAAAGGAGAGCTGAAACTTGCCTTCCACTGGTATGAACATGGGCCCATCCTCCTGATTGTTCTTTCCATTCTCCTCGGTGAAGTTTGGCTGATGGCTTTAGCTCATACTGACTATTCAGCACAGGCCATTCTCAAAGGGAGAAGGAAAAACCACCTCTGAGAATATCTTATGAGTTGTAGAGTTCATAAAGACAGAAGTTAAAGTGAGTAATTTGACAGTAACCTAGAAAGACAAAGGCCTTCCAGCCTACAAGTGTTAAAACAAAAAATTACCTGGCACTTGGCACTCCTGCTGGGTTGCTGAATGTAGCTGGTGTCCTCAGGTGGCACATGCTTGTTATCAGATGATCTTAGTCCCATTACTACATTTACATGTCTGAAATGATAGATTAAACCCAGCATGCTTGGCAACATTATTATAAACTGTAACATTCCTGCTATAATTTGGAGTGAAGCAAATTGTGATGTACCCACATTGCTGCAATTACCCCAGCATAACTTGTTGGTCTACTGTATTCAACAGCAAGTGAAACTTTCTCTGGGAAAGCCATTTTTTTGCAATGACTATGAATAACATTGTCTTTTTAAATTAGTTTATGAGCCCCTCAACAGTTGTTTTGAATGGCTGCTACTACCTGATGAGAAGTAGTGGTTCATAACTGCAGATGACCAACAAATTTCAAAATAACTTTCTACCCCTTCATCTGTTTTCTCCAGAATATTCACTTTTAGGTTACATTATTTCTTTTTTCAATGTGGTAGTTAGACTGCTCCCATTTTGTTCAGACATTGCTGTTGGCCAGTCAAAGCCATCTTCCTGTAGAGAAGCTTTCAGCTCCAAAGATTCCAACCTGTGCATGAGCTTAGAGAAAAGGTCAATGCATATGAGAAGAGACCTTTGTTTTCCAGTGCCTCTCCCTTCCTTTTGGACCCACAGATAAAGTTTTGCTAAGAGGCTGATGGACATTTCTCCAGTGTTATGTTCTTGAGACAGTCCTGCATGACCCAGCTTGGGAACTGAAGTAGGGCAGCTGCAGCAGTTCAGATCTGATGTTGAGCTTGATGTGAACAGGTCTTCTTATCTTGGGAACAGCACCACAGTGATTAGGACTGTTAATTGTGAGACTGAACTATGTTTGTGTGGCTCTCTGCTGGACTGTGAGCCCACAGCAATGCAGGCAGACTGCAGAGGGTGATAAACCCACCTGGCTTTGCTGTTTAATTCACCTGTGTACCCTTCCAGATGGTGCTGTTTCCAGTGTTCCCAAGGAAGGGTCCTGGCAGGTGTAGGAAGGCAGCTGCTGCTCTGGAATGCATTGAGTTGGAGCATTAAGGGCTTTAAACTCTTCCATCCCTGTTACAACAGAAATCCCTTCAAATTTCTCCTGTGGCTCTGCAGACGAGTTTTACCTCTTTGATCTCTCCCCACATACTTACCGCGGCCTAAAAAGTCTGTCTCCTCATCTTCGGGAAGGAGAAAATCACCTTTGACCACAAGGTGGGAAAACTTGAGTGAGCTCTGTATTCTGATTTGCTTAGGTCTAATTCAAAGACCTTCAGCATTACAGGTTTTGCTGTTCTGTATGATTAGCATTCTGTCATTTTTTTTGTTGGGAAATACAGAATAAGTATTCAGTGTATTTAGTTATGTACTTGCACAAAGCTCAGCGTGGCGAGAACCAAACAGCACTTCCTCACATGAGCAAGACACCTCTTTTTCCCTCTCTACAGATGTAGTTCTAACTGAAGCCCAGCATTTGCTTACTAGTAGAGTAAAAGCCAAGTGAAGAATAGTTTAATAGTTTAATTTTTATTCAGGAAACCAAATTTGTTCAGTGGTCAGTCATAGAAGTGTTCCGTCTTCCTTTCCTGCTGCAGTTTTCAATGAGTTATAACACTAAGCACTACTGCAGTTTCTCATTTCTTCATGTTTTGGCTTTATTTTGTGGTTTGTTTTTTTTGTTTTTAATTTATTGTTCTTAATTTTCACATTTTCATTTCATTTCATAAAATCTTATGATTGTACAGAAAGAAGGGAATGGTGCCTTTTCACTCTTTCACTGGGTAACTGCAATCAAGATCTTCAAACTGTCTTAATTTCCAGGCTTAGCTTTTTGAGTGAAAGCTTTCAAAACTAGGACTCATTAAAAGTCAGTGTAGCTGATGCCTTTTAAAACTCTTTAAAATTCTTAGAATTATTAAGGATCTCTTTAACATGCAATACTGAAATGCTGTTTAAAAGTGCAACTTTGACTCTTTAATTAGTCTGAAGCTTACTCTGTTTGCAGCCATAAAAATGTGTCCTTCTGTAGCTACACTGAACTTTCCAAGCATGGGATCTGAGTGTGGGCACAAGAAATTTTGCTATTATATTATGAATTTTTTATTTGAAAAAGACTGAAGGCTGCACTGTTTTCTTGGATGAGAGATTGCATATGAAAACTTGTCATGGTCCAACTCCTGTTATTTTTAGTGGAGCTGCAAAAGCATTGTTGAAAAATACCCTGTACTGTCTGAAGAAATAAGGATTTGTTCTTCTGCCTCAGGAGCTTTCTTTCTGTCCTTCTTTGTAGAAGAGCACAGCTTGTTAAACTTTGAGGATAATGAAAATGAGCTTCTGGAGGCATGCCCTGATGCTGCAGAAAGCAATGGGTAATTTCAGCTTCAAACCAAAGGGCATTGACTGTAAATGCAAAGCATCCTCCCTTTGATATCAGCAAAACTTCATCCAGTATATTTCCCTTATCTAGGAAACTTGAGCCAAGAGGCAGGAACTACATTACATGCTTTCTTCCAGGGGATGATGGTTCTGTGCATGTCTCCACCTCCACAGTCTCCTCTGTATCTAAGTTTTCCAAAAAACAGAGCAAGTTCCAGCAGTTTGAGTCATAAAACTGTGGAGGGTGTGTGGGATCTGCCTTCTGAATCAGAAATGGATGGGAAGGGAAGGATGGAGTTGTTCCTCTCTACCCACAAGGTGTACTGGAGATGATATAATTTCTCAGAGCTCTAAGGTAGTGCAGGGTGTTTTCATACATCATTCTTGAAGATCCAGAGAACTGCCAGCAGCAGGTGTTATGAAATCTGGGACGTGCCAACAGATGCAGAATATGACTCCTCCACTTCCAGCCACAGCTCGTTCCCAGCACAATGGAAATGGAAAAATGGGTGGAAGAAAGGAGGGAAGGGAGGAAGGAAGGATCACTGGACTATTAATGCTGCCACAGTTCTTATCTCCTCTATTCCCTATCAGTGCCAAACTGTACTGGAAATGTGTCCTAAGCTGAATGCTGCTAAACAGGGAACTTGTACATTTTATGATTTGGCATTTTATGAGGCCGAAGCTGCATTGGGGCAGCATTGATCACAACATATTCTGATCACAACACTGATCAGAATATTTTGATAGATTTTAAGCCTATGGAAGTTTAATGAACATGGTTACTGGACAAACTGATTCATGATGAGGTTTTCTGATCAAAAAATCTTAGGAATTTAGTATCAACTACCCTATCTCATTTCATTTGCCATGTAATTTTTTTTTATTTTCTGGGAATTTTTACAAACTAATCAACATAGGCTTGATTTTATCTCTGTTTTTAAGAGAATTGAATTCTACTTCTCTTTTTTTCAAATGAACAAAAGAATTGTGAATAGACTGCCCTTACCCTCTCTTGAAAAAGATCACCAGTATGATGGGCACTGTCTCTAGATATCAGTGTTAATTATTAGGACCAGGTTCTTTTCTCAGCCCTGGCAATGTGCAAAAGACAATTGGTTTTAGAATTTTACTGGATACTCCATACTATACTGTTTGTGATACTCCATCACAAAACTAGGCCCAGCATAGATTCTTGTGAAGATTCAGATGTGATTCTTCAAAGATGCATCTTGCACAAGAGCTTTTAGCGACTATTGTTTGAGGTGTGATAGGAAACCTCTGCAAACTGATGGTGGTCTCTAGTTAGGAGAAAACACTCTCCCTGCGGTTAATAGTCCTTCACTCGAACATTTGCTGCTTCTATTCTATTTCCCTTCCAGAAAAATGGGAAAAAACCAACAGTTCCCTTAGCTTGCCTTGGATGTGGTTTTCATCCTTTCTCCCAGACTGATTTTTGACTAGAAGCCAAAAGCTACACAAGGAGTCAATGATTCAGTGCTCATCTGAACCCGGAATTCTCCTGCCTTTCAGTACCACTCCAGCCACTAGACCACAACAGCATCTTATGCTGCCTCAGAAGAGAGTCATCCTTGTGGGAAAGGGAGGAAAATTCCTAGCAAAACTCCCTTGGACTTCTGACCTTCGATAAAAATGAGGAAACAGCACTTCTGATTTTCAAGAGATTACCATTATCATTATGTTTCCCTTAAAGAAGACATGTCAAGCTTTCACAAATTAAACCCAAACAACCTCTGTGTAGTTTTTTTTAATGTTCCTTGTTTTGCTAATAACTCCTTGATATATTCAGACAGATCCTGCATTAACAGAATGTTTATTTTTTGTTACTAGCCTTATGCACTTATGAATCTATTTTGGTATAAAAATAAAATGATAGAATGATAGTGGTCATATTGCTCAATTAATGATAGAGAATGGGCCAAAATCTCCAACAAATTGTGTTACAGCACATGGACTGTTAGCAGATGGTGGTTACTGAAGTTTGAGTTGGTTGACCCTCAGCTTTTGCCTCACAGTGAGTACCTGAATGAGAGTTCTTCTTAACTTCTGGTAAATCTCAGCCATACACTGCAGATATATTTGGGAAAGGGAGGGCATTTATCACACTCCTTTCAAAGAAACTCCTCTTATCTGATGTGTTTTGATATGGGTTGTGATTTTCAGATCAAAAAAGAACTTGCTTAAAAGATAACAGAGGGTTTAGCAGAGGTTCAAAATGCTTCTTTGAATTCTATATTTTTGTGAAGATCTGCATGTTTGTTCTGTCTCTAAGGGATTACCTGTGTAGTTTATGCTTACCATGTTACGATTATCTTGTTTAAACAACTTACAGAACTAATAACTATATGAGGAAAGAAAGAAATCTTTTTCTCCCTAGTGTCCCTGACTTTTTTTTTTTTGTTTTTAAACTGCATTTATGCATTTTCTGCATCCCTATCTTGTTCTGATTCTGCAAAACCTATTAATGCCAACGTTCTTGCAGACAGATGCTTTGCTGAATTAAATACATTCCTTCCATTTTAGCATGTAAAATTTGAGGAAACGGTGTGGATAAATGAGTTTCCACAACTAACTCTACAACACTATGTTGCTCTGTGTCTCAGGCAAAGAAATGAGCAAGGAGAGGCTCTGTTTGCAGTCCTGTTTCATCTTCTTGTAAAGAAGACTAAAAATATAAATGATGCACACGTTGATTTAAGCCAGAACCTGGCCATAAGTCTGGGTCACTCTATGGCCCACGCTCTGCAAGCGCGAACACAGGAGCTTATCATGGTGTACAAAGACAATCTCACAAGAAGTAATGGAAGTCAGAGACTGCTGGGATGAGTCTAAGCACATGTTTAAGGGTTTTACTCTACAACACTATGTTGCTCTGTGTAAGTCTCAGGCAAAGAAATGAGCAAGGAGAGGCTTTGTTTGCAGTCCTGTTTCATCTTCTTGTAAAGAAGACTAAAAATATAAATGATGCACACGTTGATTTAAGCCAGAACCTGGCCATAAGTCTGGGTCACTCTATGGCCCACGCTCTGCAAGCGCGAACACAGGAGCTTATCATGGTGTACAAAGACAATCTCACAAGAAGTAATGGAAGTCAGAGACTGCTGGGATGAGTCTAAGCACATGTTTAAGGGTTTTCAGGATCAAACATAAATGCTGATTTACTGACTAGGCAATCTTCAGTACCACCTACTTAGGTTAAGTGTTTGTGATTTTTCTGTAATGTCTCCTGTGTTTGGCCATTGTTCTATGTGACAATGAAGAAATAGAAAATGTCAGTGAGGGCAAAGCTGCCAGATCACAAATACCAAAGGTTCAGAGCTTGCACTGGGAATGCAGTGCAACATATTTTTTGAGATATTGTACAGTCTTGGCTCACCAAAGAAACAGCAACACACAGGTCAACTTACGTTCATTTGGGTTTTGTTATCAGAAATGGAAATACTTATTTTTCAAATCTTCTACTTTCTGTCTTTATATTCGCACAGAGCTATTGCAGCATAGTGTTTGTGCCTATAGTGAGCACTAGAAGTTATAGCATAATGTATTTAAAAATAGTACTTAAATAATGAATGCGGCTAAATGTAAACAATATTATCAAAATACAAACAATACTAATGTCATATAAACACAGCCTTCTAATGTACTTGTATTCGACATAGCCCAAAATAATTTTAAAAATACTATTGTGTTATTCTGTATGGATTCTTCAGTGTGCTCTTTCCTTGTGTACTTATTATATTTATTTTGTCTTTAGCCAAAGGGAATCCTGGCAGTCTTGGTAGTCAGCATTTCTCTCATTTCTGTAGTAGCCAGACCCTCTGGGAGAGATGAGACTTGCATTTTGTGGTAATGACAATGCCTCAGCCTACAACATCAGTGCTGGTGTCCTCAGGAACGTCTGCTTTGTGGATGCCCTCAACTTGGTCCCTCATGTCTTCCTGCTGTTTATCACCTTCCCAATTTTGTTCATTGGTGAGTTGTTCCATGGAGTTCTGCCATTCCACAAACACTCGAGCATGTGTTTATACTCAGTCATGTTTGCATGGGCTTGGTGAAACCATTGGATGCTTTGTATTTATGAATTCAGAAAAAAGAGAGGAAGAATGGCTTCACCCAGAGGATGTGAGGCCAACCCCCTGAAATGTGGGAATTTTAGATATAGATCTGAACTAATTAGCATGAACAGATGTATGAGAACCAGCGAGATCAGATCCAAATTTGCTGTGGAACTTCTCTCTGCAGAAGTTTTCTTCAGATTTGAAATTGGCAACTTGCAACCTTTGTTATTCTTAGATATTAGAAGACTTAGGGCAGTGGGTCTGAATATCCTTGAAGTTACATGAATTACAGAGAATATCCAAAATGTTCAGATTGGATCTAAGGGTAAAACAGGTGTAGGAAATATTTAATATAGAACAATTGCTTCTTTTGCCAACACTTGTAAACAAAAGTAGAGCAATAGAGATTTTTTTTTTACCCAACAAAATAAAAGAATAAGAAATGATAAATCCCTCTTGAGGAATGGAGGAGAGTGGAGGGGGTCTAACTCACAGTCTTGTAAAAAACCCCATCTAAGCTAGTAGTTTAATGATATTTTTTTTCTACAGTTGTCTTTTTATCCCAGTTAATTTGCAGTGGTGAAATAAATATAATTTAATACTTTTCCAGAGAGGTCAAACGGTGGTGTTCTAACTGATTATAGGAGATTATGAGACTTGAATAACCATCAAAAGTATTAGTGAAAATATTCTCCTGACAACTGCATGAGAAATGCCATGTCAGTTCTTCCATGTTACCTTCCTGGTATTGCATGTGTAGATGGTGATGCATTTCTTCCACAAGGAAGATTTGAATTTGTGGTTGTATTTGGACATGAGATTTAAGGGCTTTCATCATGCAAAAAGACTCCAAAGCAGTTGAATAAAATGCTACAGGAACCTGTGGGCTAAGACACTCTGTACCTAACTGTGACATGATCCAGTGACTACAAAATAAATAAATAATTAAGCAAGAGAATAAGAAACAAATTCTAACAAATTATAATGACTAGAAAGAAACCCCAGGATTATGGAAACTCTCTCCAGCAGTGCTGGATTTTTACCTCAGTGCTGGCTCTTCCTTTGAGGTGTGATGCAGGTCATCCTTGAAGCATAGGGCTTTTTGCAGAAGTGTTTGTTGGAAGTACAATGCAGGGTCTGAGAGATAATATTTTAGAACACTCTAACATTAAGTGCTGCTTCAATTTTTTTAGAGGTATTAGCCAATTAATTTTGAAATAGTATTGCAGCTGCTGAAAATTCCCTCAATTTCATAACAATGTTAGGAAAAAAATATAGCATTTTAAATTGTATGCTATTTATGTAAGGATGTAATTATTTGTTTTCTATTTTGTATGCTAATTATCAGGACAAATAGTTGTTGAACAGAGCATTAAATGCCAGCTGGAGTCCGTGGTATAGACTGAGTCCAAGCCAGAAATTTGGTGATAAGCTGTGTTTGTGCAGATGTGTGGGCAAAGAAAAAATAAAAAGCATCTTGAGAGAGACAAAGACAGGAGCAAGGTCCAAGAAAACCACATTAGATTAGGAAAGTCTTAGAGAACTATAGAAAATGCTTGAGATAGCTATGGAGAAGAGAGAAAAATTTGTTCTTGCAGAATTTTGTGTCTTAACCAAGGATGAAATGGTGAAATGCTGACAGTTTCCAAGAATCAATAACTTAGATTTTGGTTTATGTGTTTCTGAGTCCCCTGATGAGCCTCCAAGCACAATCCTTGTGTGGCAAAAGCACATCCTGGGTTTTAAACTGAGTTAGTTTTGTTTCCTTTTGTTGTGTTTCTTTACTTCCCCAAAATGTGCTGTTGTTTGGATTCTCTGCAGGCTTTGGGAAGCCTGTCAGGGAATTCCAGGAGTTGCTTTACAGTAAGAGGGACTTTTGGGCCCACTGACTCAGGACAGCTCTGTACATGTGTGGGAAAAGACAGAGGCCGAGGCTCAGCACAGAGAGGCCAGCCTGTGGTCAGGACTCAGCTTCCCCAACCCTGTCACCTCCCTCAGATCCTCTGTGTCCCTCCTCTTGCTGGGTTGCTGGCCTCAGAGAGGATCTTGCCTGTAAAGGGCAGGTGACATCTGAGGTGATGACAGAGAAATAGGCTTCACGTTGAATTTGTTGATTAATTTGAGTGCTGGCGCTGTGTTGGGAGCTCTGAGGAGCCAGGAATGGAGAGGCCTAGGAGGCTGGGCTGCACCTGAGAAAGAGAAGCTGTGAAATCACTGTTCTGCTTCCACTCAGACTGTACTCCCAACCAGGCCTGAAACAGATAATAAATGTTACTTTTTTCAAGTAAATGTATCTCTTTGAGGCTACATTTGAGGATGCAACTTTTGTATCAGTTGGAAATTTTTCCCACTCTTTCTGTGACTGTGAAAGACGTGAGGGCACCATTGCTTTGGCTCTGTCAGTCCCTGATGTCTGAGGGTGCCACTTGGGGTGGTTTCTTTTGTTCTTGTTTTCTTATCATTTTTCTTGTCCAGGAAGGACTTTTCTTTGATTCTAATTTGGAAAAAGTGTTGTCTCATTGTCTTCAGGGTTTTGTTTAAATTATGGGCCAACTGAGACACTCCTGGATCATGTTTTTAGTAACAACAGCCCTATAGCCTGTAGGGGGTTTGTATCGATTGCATGTAAGTGTGGCCCAGAAAACTGATAAGCAGATCAGTGACTGACTTACTGTGAGATAACCTTTCTCTTTCCTTGCTATCATTTCCCAGGCTGGGGAAGCCAGAGCTCCAAAGTGCAGATTCACCACAATACTTGGCTGCACTTCCCTGGGCACAACCTGCGGTGGATCCTGACGTTCACCCTGCTGTTCATGCACGTGTGTGAAATAGCAGAGGGGATTGTTTCCGATACGTAAGTGGCAGAGTTTGGTGGATAACCATGCTAATTGCATTTGTTAATGAAGAGTGTTAATGTCTGATGGCATGGCTAGTAAGGCATGAGGAGGTTTTCCCCCAAAAAGTTTAATGAACTCTCTAGGTTTTAATGGGATGAAGGTGAAGCTGTTGTTAGCATTTATTCTTCTCTCGAGCTATAATGGCAAGCAAATATTGATCAAAGTTAAGCACTCATGAGGACAAAAATGTTTTTGTCTCGAGGAAATTCATGTTTGTCCTCTTTAATAGATTAGCAGAACACCGATGGTTTCACACAATGGTGAAAAAAAGGCACCAAATTCACTAATTTATACTGTATTTATTTTCAGACAAATGAAATCTCGCCACCTGCATCTCTTTCTACCAGCTATAATGGGATTTGTGGCTGCCACTGTATCCATAGTCTATTACCATAATATTGAAACATCCAACTTTCCAAAGTTACTGCTAGGTAAGTCTACGTCTGATATTTATTTTTCTTACAAATTTTTTTTTTCTTACGATTTTTTTTTTTCTTATTTATTTATCTTACAAATCCCAGTATTTTAGCCAAACTCAGCTAGTGTAAGTTGAGGAGGATAGTAGGATGTGTGAGAATATTAAAAGAGAGGAATAACTCTCTGCTCTTGCAACTGGTACTATCATAGGAGTTATTGCACCTTTCATAAGGTACACACTGAAAACTTTTAAAATTATTACAAAAGAGAAAGTCTTGCATGCCTGTGTCATTTCTATCACAAGCTTTTAGGTATTTTTTAACACTGTTGATAATTTTGAGGAAAAACTTGTCTGCATTCAAAAGGGCTGTTTCAAAAGGCTACTTTGAATAATGATCTGACCACAAACTCCTGTGCAGATGCTGTTCTTTCTCAACATCTTTTGCAGCTGATTCCAAGATTATTCCATCTGCTCTAAGTCAGGTGATGGTCGCACCAGATGTGGCAGAGTATTGTTCCATACAAGTATATTGTCCAAATTGCCTGTAGCTCAACCACCTGAAAAAGGCCCTGACAGATACCAGCCAGAATGCAGGCTAACACTAAATTCCATAAACTCTTTTTCCAAATGAGTACATATCTGTATTCTCACTTGGGATACACGTTGCTTTTTTTAAGAGGCAATTTGACTTTTGTCAAGTTGTGTGCCTTTTCCTTCGCTATGAGAACAAAGTTCCCCTTCAGATGAAGTCCTCTTCAGTGGACTTTTGTACCTGTGTGAAGATCTGCCATTGTGGATCTGTTTGAAGGGTTGTGGCCCAGGAAAGAAAAGTGGCTGGTGACATAGAGGATCACTGTGCCTTCACCGTATCAAGCCATGGAAGCTAAAATGCTGCAGTTACACTTGTTTATTAATTAATTTTTAAATTATACACATGCACCTGTTTTACAGCCCTGTTCCTTTACTGGATAATGGCCTTTGTCACCAAAACCATCAAGCTTGTCAGATACTGCCAGGACGGGGTGCCTTTTTCTCAGCTGCGTTTCTGCATCACTGGAATCATGGTCATCCTCTATGGGCTGCTGATGGCCGTGGAAATCAATGTCATCCGAGTCAGGGTATGTAGATTCTTCCTCAGGATCTAGAAAAATATCAGTGGCATCATGGGGGTTAAGATGGCTCCTTAGTCCCAGGAACTCTGGCTTGTGTCAAGTTTAGGCCAAGTTTAGCTTAGCCATAAAGGTTTGGCTAATTCTGTGGATATCAGTGGTGATTTAAATCTCTTTAAAATGTATGTCCTTGACGTATCCCCTGAGCTTGGTGTGTGTGCATGCCTGTGTGCATCTATCCACACAAAGTGCACATGTATTTGTGTAGATAGATGCATATTTGTGCACTTGAGGAGGGTATAGGTGGATGCAATCTGTAAAATATGTGCTGTGTTAGTGCTGATGAACTATTTATGTAGTGAATCTTTAAGTTAGTATATGTTCTTACGCATGAGAATTTAAAATGAAATTATTTCCCAATAATTCATTTTTACTGTTGTTCAGCTTGAGATAGATGGTACTGATAGGGTTCAAAACAGTATCCACATCTCATGTTGCTCAATTGTTTGCCAGTTATCTGTCAAAATGGAAATGCTCCTATTTCCACACAAATTGCACATATAATCACCTTTGAAAGCAAATTTGAGACTGTGGTTGTCTCACACATAGTTTTTCCTAAAAAATTACTATGAATAAGGTAACTTCTGAGCCCGTGTTTGTCTGTTTTCTCCTTTGCAGAAGTATGTGTTTTTTATGAACCCTCAAAAAGTAAAGCCTCCAGAGGATCTGCAGGATCTGGGGGTGAGGTTCCTGCAGCCATTTGTCAATTTACTCTCAAAGGCAACTTATTGGTGGATGAACGCCCTCATTATTTCTGCTCACAAGAAACCTGTGGACTTGAAGGCCATTGGGAAGCTCCCAATTGCAATGAGAGCACTGACAAATTATGTCTGTCTCAAAGAAGCCTACGAGGAACAAAAGGTAATAACAGGTGTCCATGTCACTGTTCAGCCTTAGAAAACCAAAGTGTCACTTTGAATTTCTTCAGCTTTCATGAAATCCTCGTTTTAGGAATTTTTAACTTAGGACTGTTTGTTCCAAGGTGAAACATTGGCATAGGAAGTTCCAATCTAATAGTTACTGTTTGGTTTTAAGTGAATTTATAGCAGGAGAGAGTTGCCAAACTGAGTGCAACTAGAAACTAAAACCACAACAGACTGATCACTTGCTAGATTTTAACAGTGAAAGATTTGTTTAAATCTTAGCTACTTTTGAAACTGGAAGACATTCTGTCCAGAGTTCCAGCTGGAAACACTCATCTTCACCTTTTTTATCTCCAGACAGAAAAATAGCCAAAACCACACATCAAGTATAGCCAAAACACTGGTGTTTTATTGATTTAGTCACCAATCCCAAACACAGAACCATACGGGCTGCGATGAAGAAAATTAACTCCATCCCAGCCTGACCCAGTACAGAAAGCATGGTTGGGAAGACTCACTGGGTAGGGCAGGATTTTCCAGGGAAACATCTGGATGCATTTAGTCAGCTCTTTGCTCCCAGCAGCTAATGGAGCTGCACGCTCCTTTCTGTGCCTTCTGAGATGGAACAATTATCAGTACAATTGTTTATATCTTAATAGATATAGGTTGCTTCTCTTTCCTTCTGCAGTTGAGGATTACAGAGATCAGAGATCAAGATCCTTCTGCTTTAGGCAGAAAGCTACTGAGTTTTTGGAACTGAGCTTTTCACAGCAGCCTGGGAGAGGTGCATCCCTTAGACCTGCTCCTTAAGGTGCCTGAACCCTACTTAAAGAGGCAAAAGAAGGATATGCACCTATGTGGCCCAAGGACCTGAGTCTGCCATTCTTGAAAGGCATGACAGCTGGGTGCCAGCATTTTTCTGTAGCTCATTCACATCTGTAGTTACTGTCTGTGCCTGCACAAAAATGCAGTTCAGATGCCAAAAGGCAAAGTAAATGTGTATTTCTCATGTGCATGAGCACAAACTTTCAGTGTGTATCTTCCCTCAGTGCATGTCGTGCACATATAGACACTTGCATAAACGTTATGTATGCAGTTACACTCACCTACATTTCTGATGCTGCCTTACATCAGATATTTTGTGTTCTGTAGTTGTTTAAAGCCTTGAGATTACCACAGCCTCTAGCACGTTTGTGCTACTATTCAAAAACAGGCTGCAGCCTTGAAGTAAACTGGTACTTTGTAGATAAAGTTAAAGTAAACCAAATAGTAGTAGAGCAAATGCAAGGAGCCAGGCAGTGGGACTCACTGCAGTTCATTCCTGTGGAGAAATGTATTGGCTTGTACCTGGGTGGGCCAGAAAGCAGCCACAGAATTAGGAAAATTCGTCGGACTGGAGTGTGGTCTGCAGTCTGGAGGAAGTGACATGCCACTGTCTCTGCTGCCAAGTGTGTATTTTACACTAATCTCCTGCTGGTGAGGGGAGCCTCACAGCCTCCTCTGGATTAAGTGGGGTTACCCCAGCCTGTGCCTGCAGATAGCTGATCTTGGCTGTGCTCCATGGCCCTGCAGAGAGAAAACTCCTGTTCCTTCCCAAACCTTTCTTCTCACACCTTAATGAAAGATGCTGAAGACGACCTTGAATACTCTGTATTGTGAAAAGCCTTTGAGACAGCTCACATGACATTGTCTTGCTATCTCTTCTGCATGCTATGAAAATGGAAATAATAGTATCGATTCTCACAAAATTCCATTTACATCCCTCACCCCCTCCACAGGAAAAAAAAAAAAAAAAAAAAGTGATCCTCTTTTGGTTGTTGTTTGGCTGTTGTTTCACTTTCTACAGAAGCAGGCTAGATGTTTCACACCACATATCAGTGCATCGTATATCACATATCCAAAAATAGAATTAGCACATTGATATTACATTTGTCTTACCCCACTAGCCTGAATTCTGTGTAATTTGTCCTGATGGTCAATAGAACCTTTTCTTTTGGGCACTTAATAGAAAAAATAATTTTTAAAGTCAGGGACCATTAGTTTCCTATGTCTGCTATTCATGTGCCACTATAGTTCTTAGCTGTTAGGGCCAAGAAAAGGAGGAATGAAATTGTGCCAACTATCAATCACAGGGACAGGGCATTGCCCTTCAGCACCAGGCTTATACTGCCAGCTCCAGAACGACGGGAACAGTCAGATTTCCATATTTACGGAGGCAAACCTTATGGGTGACTTGATTTGTCACAAAGCACTGTCTCACTGCCCTTTATTCCAACTGTGGAGTGCTCAAGGTAGAGAAAATTACAGGAATTTGAAAGGAAGTTGACAAAGACAAGGAAAACCAAATCAAGTGGCACAGCTGAGAACAGCAGCCCAGACTGGTTAATTAATACGGCAACATTCTATGCAAGCCCAAAACACTCATCCTGTTACATGCTTCAGCTAAGATGAGGTCCTGATTTAAAAAAAAAAGAAGAAAAACCAGTGTTTAGCAATAAATTAGATAATTTAATAAATTTTTTTTCCATTTAAAAGGAAACAGATTTCATGTAGTGATGGCCAATGTGTGAATTGCAGGAACAGTGAAAATGGCTATTAAATTGTTAGAGAAATAAGGATTAACCATTGCTGTTTAATAAATTTACTATTAATTGAATGCCCAGAACAATATAACAATTTTTTTTCCCAAAAGATGGCAGCCATTTACCTCATAAACTAGCTTAGCTCCTCTCAAGCTGTTAAAGTTATTAATCATTTATTTGAGGATGGTGATTAATCCTTTTAGGGCACTCAAACTCAAAACCCATTACACCATATATTCAGTCCCTTTTGTCTGGGCAGCTCACACGAGGCCCTTGTGCTCTTTCCCTCCTCAGAGGAAGCAGTTTCCTTCTCATCCCTTTTGAAATGGTAGCTCTAATTTTACCCCATGGTGCTTATTTCTCCTTCCTGAGCTCCTTGGCACTGGCCTGGCACCGTATCTGGCAGCCGCCTGATCCATCTGAACATTTTTGGCACCATGCATATAATCCATCTCACTGTGGAAATGACATAAAAAGGAAGAACTGAGAAAAGAGGGGGGAAAAGGCATGAGGCAGCCAGGCAGGTTATAGGCATGTTTGCTTTTTCTTTGGTGAACTTGTTGGGGCAGGGGGTGATTGTTGCTTGGCTGTGCTTAAAATGTCTCTGTGAATGCTCAAGAGAGCTTGGCTTGGCTTGCAGCTTGCAGGCATCTGTGCTGCTTGAGAAATGACAGATGCTTGTTTAAAGTGTCAAAATCTACTGCTTGAAGTGCAAGGAAGCATGCTGCAGAGCATGGCTCTGGTCAGTAAAACTCTTCCTTTGTTAAACTGAAAGGACCTCAGGGATATCAGAACTCTTCTGATTACACAAAGACATATCTGCTGGTTGGTGTTTTAGCCAAGAGCTGTGATACTGTGTAAATTCACAGATCTGAAGGCTAGAAAGGACCCTTGGTTGATTTAATCTTACCTCCCATCCTGGTCTGCTGCTTTCATTTTTTGAGCACAGTTATCATTGATTGGTTGAAGCGTGTCATCCTGGAATGCATCCAAGAGATGGAAAAAATTCCAGATAAATTAAATTAAACAACATTCTTGTAATTGTCACGTATTTTTCCTGCAATCAGAAGCTTTACAGGTTGTGAAACCAGGATTACCCATGTGAACAAAGGGCTGAAAGGTCAGACCTTTCCCTGAGCACACATGTGACAAGGGACAATGGCTGCCTGCCAGGATGACAATCTGTGCTTACATTCCTGTGTTCACAGGTTGAGGAAAGTGGTGGGATAGAGAGGTGAGAAACCACAATTACCAAGGGGAGGCAGAATTGGAATTTGCTGTGAAAAATGTCGGAAATCTGTTGATAATTACAGCAAGTTTACTGCATCACTGGGTACAAACCACCTTTCAGGAACCTTTTAGGTAACCAGACAGGAATAATGCCATATAAAGCCTGGGAGATTTCTCTTATTCCACTGGGTGCCTGTTTTTCTGTTTTCCAGAAAAAGGTGGAGGACCATCCCAACCGGAGTCCCTCCATTTGGTTGGCCATGTACAGCGCTTTTGGACGGCCAATACTGCTCAGCAGCACCTTCCGCTACCTGGCCGACCTGCTGGGCTTCGCTGGGCCACTCTGCATTTCTGGTATTGTCCAGGGCTTCCAGAATACAACCAATAATACAAACACCACAGAAAAGGTAACCTGACAATGTACATTGAAAGGCTCTGGTAGTAGTTTTAGAGTCATATCAGGTATTTAAGATAGCTGGCTGCATGCTTTGATAGGTCTGTGGTCATCACTGTGTTATTTAATTGTTTCTCTCAAGCAAATTGAATATTTCTGTTGTGCGAGACAGTCAAGTTATAAACCTGAGCAGTGAGAGACTTGGGTAGGAATGGAACACAGGTCGTGGAGGCTATTCCCAGCTCCCCAGCTGTCTGTCTTGATGGAGTCATCCCAGCAGTTCTGGGAATAAGGAACCATTTTTTCTGCTCCTCTTCAACTGTGCCTATTTGTTTCAGGCAGGACACACACTTGTGGTACCTCAATGATGCATCCAGCCTGGGTATTTTGCTTAATTCCTGTCCATTTGTCAGTTTGTACTTCACTGACAGTTTTGAGTTCTCTCAAATCTGTTTTTTATACTGGGAAGCTGACAGTAGCCAGTCCCTGTTTGTGGCTGATTGCATTGATTGCTGCTGTGATGAACTGTGTTAGCACGTATTAAGAAATTGAAAAGTATCCACTTTACTCAATGGTGTTCTTGATACCAGAGATGCACAAGAGATGCCAGATCAGTGCTCATTTCAAGTTTCACTGCGACTGAACTTTCAGGGATCACATCTAAATGCTGAGCAAGCCTCTGATACAGAACATTTTCTATCACAAGAAAAAGAATTTATGAGTAACTAATGAAATGATACAGGTAAAATTATTTTACTGACAGCAGAGAAGAAATGACAAAGACATTTTTCTGCATTTGTCTTGTGACAGAGAAACATCTCCATACAGTTTTTGGAGTGTTTTATCTCTGAATGAGCAGATAGGTATGTAATGGAATAGCATTTTCCTCTCCAGATAAAGTATTTGACTGTCATCACTATCCACATATCTTTTTCTTGGCTGCTCACTCCTGACATTAATTTTCTTCACTGATGGACTCAATTTAGCTTGAGACTTTCCTGCACTGAAGGAGAATTCAATTGTACAGCTTATCAAATAAAGCTTTTTATCATCCTTGAACCTGCACATGCAGGATTTGAGCCACAGAGTTACAAGGCAAAGTGCATGTTTTTGTGCCTTCAAAAATGTTGGGGTTTTTTGCATGGTGAACAAACAAAGTATTTAAGCTTGAAAATAATTTCTGGATCTCAGATTTAGGAATCTGTACCTTGTCTGCTTCCTTTATCTTTTGTCCTCTTCAGTGTGGTGGCCTCAGTTGTGGCTTTTTAAAGTTTTAATGAACACTGGCTAAAGGGAAGATTGAAATCATTGGAAATCTTGAAAACACTTGGCTTAGTGTCAGTCATTGTTTCTCTTGGATTCATTTCAGAATGCATGTGCCTTTAATTTATGGATTTTGATAAACTTTCTCTTGGTTGTTCTTGCTATTAAACATTTCTCTTTTAAATTCTCCCTAGTTCCAATTGATGTGAATACATTTGATCTTATGTTTATTCTGCCTTAATTCCTGAGAACTCTATATACATTGTAAAAAGCTATCAACAAATGTTATTTTCTTAATGATATCCCCACTATGAAAACAAGGGCAAGTTAGATGCAGCAAAATATTAAAAGGGAAGTTTTCAAATATATTTATCTCACCATTCATGCACTTAAGCAACTCTTTTTTCAAGGAATCTTGGGGAGGTTGCTTTCTTTCTTACATTGCCCATATCCTTCATTTCAGAATCAGGCTGGATATTTCAGTAGGACAGGCTTTTTCCTTCTCTTTTTTCTTTTTTTTTTTCCCTGTAAGAATTCCAGTACATCCTGCTTCCAGCTGGGTCGGAAATACCAAAGGAACAGTCTTCCTTGGAGTATTTTGGTACATTTGTTTCCTCTTCTGCCTGAAACAGAGCAGAACAGTGAACACAAAAACTAAAAAATTAAAACAAAGGGCTTTAAAGAAGACTCTTTTTCTCTTGCATATTGAGGCATTTAAATTTCATTTTATGTGGAATACTGGCATGTATAATCTAATGTTATTCAGAATTTATGGCTATCATAGACTATACTTGTGGAAGGAAATGTTTCCATAATATGCAAATGCAACATATATAACTAATCCCATATAATAAAAAATATTTTCTTGCAGCATCTCTGTGGGCAGGTGGAATGAGCTTTATTTTCTACTGAGTAGCATTTCTATCCTGCAAATCACCACAATTTGATGGGGATACTAAAGACAGGGCAGACACGGTGATCTTATTGCTCCTTTCCTGCTAAAAGTAAATCATTTTAGAACTGCTAAATGTCTCAATCCTCAGTCTCTGGAACAGGAGTGGAGTTTTGAATTTGTATCCAAATGATTTTGATATAGAGGTCAGTGAGAAATCTGATTTCTATAACTTTACCATAATACCAGCAATAAGTTTTATTCTAATGCAATGATTAAATTTGCTTGTTTCCAGCTTCTTGGGAATATACAATCCCTCCTACAGAACTAGCATAATTTTTTCCTTTCTTTTCAGGTGAAGGATCCATCAAACTCCTACCTTTCATCAGAGGAATTCCTCAGGAATGTTTATGTCTTGGCAGTCCTTCTCTTCCTGGCTCTTATCCTGCAGAGGACATTCCTGCAGGCCTCCTATTATGTGACTACAGAGACTGGCATCAACCTCCGGGGTGCCTTACTGGTGAGAAAAGATCTGCCAGGAGATTCACTAGTAACAGCTCTAGCTTTGTCTTTTCATTTGTCTCGTTCTTCATCTGAAGACTGAGCTTGAAATGATGGTTTCAGAGAAGATATGTGCTGTATTTTTATACAGAAAACTGGACAAATTAATGCTGGCAAACTGCTGGCACCAATTCCTTTGGCTAAAAACTAATCCCATCATTCTAACCTGTTGGAAGTTTAACACCCATAAAACCCCATGCATATGAAAACACATCTTTGCAGACAATGAGAGATAGGTGAAGATCAGCAGTGTCATTTTGGCTCTGCATCTGCTTTGTTTCATTTGCTTATGAGTTTGCTTCTGCTGACTGCGGACAGAGCCATCTGCTGAGTGTCCTTGTTTTATGGGAACGCTGTGCATGTGTTGGGAGTGGTGACTCTGGATATTTATGCCCTTTAGCACAGAGCCCTGTGGGAAGGGATGGGAGTGATTCATCTGCAGGGCTGTGTCTGTAACCCCAGCATCCCTTAACCCTCTGTGAGAGCCTTGTTTATGGACTGTAGCCAGCATGGCCCAGCACATGGTGGGGTGTAGCAGGGCTCTGCAGAGACCAAACTCCACAGGCAGCAGTAGCAATCCAGAAGCCGGAACTGATATTTTGCCAGATGTAACTAACCATGGGAATATCATCTCAGCATGGAAGCTTTTTTTTTTTTTTTGTACTTGCTCTGATTGATGGAGCTGCTTCAAATATTTTCTGCCTTCTCCCAGGATAGATGGTACAGACTTGGGGATGAAAAAGCTCCTGGTTGTTTCCTTTTTGTGATTCCTTTTTGTGACTCCCACTTACCAAAGTTAGGACTCTTAGGAGCATATGCAGATGATATAATTCACCACGCATTTCTGATTAATTCTACACGATATACTTTATTCATGAAGAAAATGGGTCAAAAAAGACAAATTATTTTTAAAACATCCTTAGAGCTGCAGCATTTGATATTTGATCATACCTGCAAACTGTGCTCACAATATTTGCCTTTAAAATTCAGTAGATGTAAACCCTGATTAATTTTAAACCCTGTTAAACTCATACAAATTTTATGGAAAGGAATGGCCAGGTAACAGAGAGGAACCCAAAGGAATACATACCCACTTTGATCAAACTTCACAGCATGAATTTACCTATCTTATCAGAAACAAGGATCTCTTTGACAGACAGTGTCACAGGAAAGCAGGGTCACCAAATGTTTGTTAAAAAGGTTCTTTGGCTAATTCCTTAAATTTTGATATTTTGTTGTCATTTTTTGTTCTATTTTAGGTGTGCATTAAGCAACACACCTTTTAAGAGGAATTGGAGTTTTTTTTAATCAGTTCTCTCTCTTGTGCTTTCTCTCACTGTCTCCATCTCTCTTTGTCTCAGGTGAGAGACTGGGAGAAGGGCTGTCCTAGGTAAAGGCTGATGATGCAGTTTGAAACATCCCACTGCTACTGTTCTTTTATAATTACATCATTTTAGTAACTTCCTTTTTTCCTCTTTCTTACAGGCAATGATATATAATAAGATCCTGAGGCTTTCTACATCCAACTTGTCCATGGGAGAGATGACACTGGGACAAATCAATAATTTGGTTGCCATAGAAACCAACCAATTAATGTGGTTCTTGTTCCTGTGCCCCAATCTGTGGGCAATGCCTGTTCAGGTAGAGCATCCAAGTAAGAACCTGATTTCAGAGATCCTCCAGCCTGGCTGAGGAGAGTGCATGTCTGGGACACTGCTACAAAATCCAGAGGAGAACCTGCACTTCCCACTAAGATTAGCAAACAGAAAGGTAGCCCTGGGGCTGGAAAGATGTCTTTCCAAAGGCCAGTGAAGAGAGAGGGTTTTTTTAGCAGGATTTCCATGTCTGTGACTTGAAGAATGAGGACCTGCAATCCTTTTTCCTGCTCATATTTCTTCCACTGCTGACACAAATCCATTGCTTTTATTTTGCCACCTGGCATCAGCCCTAAGCATTGCTTCTGCAGTGTCCACTTGTAAATGGGTTTTGTGGCAGGACCAACAGCAATTGAATCCTGCTCCATGACTGACATGAACACTGACAATGCTCAGAGGAGCTCTCATCTAAGCAACTTAGTCACTGAACATATCTGCTTCTTAACAATGCTGGGAAAGAAATGGAGACAGACCTGTAGGAAGGAAAGGTTGAGATAATTTAGCTCGAAAGAAATATTCAAAAATGCCAATGTGACAAAATGACCTGAGACATACTGATTTTCCATGAAGCTTGGACTCCTGTTGCCTCTTCAGAATTTTAGCTCAGGGTGTGTTTGCCATGGTCCTTACCTGTCTGTGATCCCCCTGAAATGAAAGAACTTTTTAAAGGGATAGAACCAGCTCTTATAGTAGATCTGTTTTGCTGAATTTCCTGAAACTGCATCAGTAATCTATTTTATGAGTCAGTAATTACTCCTACTAATGGGTTGGCTAGGGTTTAGAGTGTAATGAAATAGCTTATGAAAAAAGGCAAAAAAGGCTACATAGAAATTAGAAATAATAGATATGGTTTAATTTCACTGTTTCACATCCTGTGAAGTGGATGAAAGTGTTGCTATCAATACTTTGAAAGTAATTTAAATGAACAGGTGATCTGATTGCTGTGGCTAGGTATGGTAATTTGCAGTACAGGAGCCTGAAAAGCTAAATATTGCTTTAAAAATGTTAAACACCACTAATTCTTACTTCTGGTGTTGTATAATAAGAAAGAAGATTTAAAGACAGACTTGTTTAAGAGACAAAAGTATGAGATATGCAATTAATTCTGTATGCCCTCTTATCACTGAGGACATCACTCTGTCACAAAGAGGAGCTTTAATAGAAATATTTATATAGTAGAGCTTGAATTAACTCAGGAACCAGAATCACAACAGTCACATCACAGCCATTCCCAGGTAACCTTCTGTAGGAAGTGTTCCCAAACCCTTTGCAGGGCTAAGGCAGCATTTTCCCCCAGAGCTGCATGGTATTGATGCCCAAGCTCAGTTTGTGTCAGTCCCAGCAGATCTGCTTTGTGCTTCAGTGGCTGTCTGCGATGTCCCTCTGCCTGCAGTTGCACAGGGACAGTATAACACAATGCAACTGTGATCCATGACAGCCCTAAGACCTCTGAATGCTTCCAGAGTGAGGTAAGGAGCTCTAGTGTAAACAGGACTTCAGGCCAGGAGCTCTGTAAAATGCCTTGGGGCAAGAACCATCATTTTAGTGCTCCTTTAGTTTTGTGGAAACCCAGTCTGGAATTAGAACTACCAAGCACTAACACTATTTAGTTAATGTCAAAAATAAAGGCTTCTGGGTTTATTTCCCACACTTTCCAAATGTGACCTCCTGAAGCATGGGCTTAGCTGATTCCTATGAATGATTTAAGTGTTTATTAGAAGAACAAACATTTTTCTCTTGGCGTGGTTCTGGCATATTGAAATCTACTTTTTTTTTTTTTTTTTTTTTTTTTCACAGATAATAATGGGTGTGATCCTCCTCTATAACCTTCTGGGAGTAAGTGCCTTGGTCGGAGCCTCTGTCATCGTGCTCTTAGCTCCCATCCAGTACTTCATAGCCACCAAGCTGGCTGAGGCTCAGAAGAGCACTCTTGTAAGTGAATTATTTCAGTGACATTTGTGATCCAGAAATGAGAACAGGGTTTCTGGGTTCTGTTCTTCTAGTTAGTGAAAACCACTGTGTGCATTTGGGCCATCCATCAGTTGTACTGTCCCTCCCTGTCTGTTTTATTTTTTTGTGGCTCAGTGTCTCTTCCTTCCTCACAATTTGTCAGAAGAGAATTTCAAAAAAGTATGTGGGCCTTGGCCTGCCTTCTCTGCAAAGAGTATTTTTAATTGAAAGAGTATTATGCAACTAGTACAATTTTATCTGAATTCCACTCCATTAAATGGTGTTATTCCCACATGCAGATATTGTATTTCATGGGATGTTAGCAAACAGTGCAAATGACTTATAAATTATAGCAGGAAAGTATTAAAGAATGTGCACAACCTCCCTCTGTAAAGTCTAGAGACTTTTTACTCTCCGCCTAAGCTTTGGTATTTTCTAAAAATCAGTTGGCACTGCTGGATTATTATATATTCATACCTAAATTCTTCAGTGCTGTAAGTTTATTTTTCTGCCTCATTTAGTTCACCAACTAGAAATGTTTTCTTCTCCTTTGTCTAATTTTTAACTTTATTGCTGTGACCCTTGAACTTTTAACATAAGCCTTTGATGTTTAAATTGCCAAATATTTAGAGTTCCTTTTTATCTTAATTTTCAGTAAGCAAATTATTGATTTAATTGTCAGCACACTTCAGTCCTGTTGAGTTGTGCCAGTTTTTGTAAACTGTAAAAATTGTACAGAGGACTTAGCATAGTTTCGGAAATAATCTCAATCTTTTCTACTACTCTATTCTGCCTTCCTCTGACTCATAACATCTTTTGGATTATGATTTTACCAAAACTCATGATTACTGTTTTCCGATGAGGGGAATTTAGCTAAATACATTGATATCTCACTTATTTTCACAACTAGTTCCTGGAATGATTCTTGCATCAGCAAATACACCCATTTAGATTTCTGTCTATTGTTATGGACACCATGGACCCACTAACCCACCTCCCAGAGTTTCACCCTCTCTTTGAAGGGTTGGGATGTTTTGAGTTATTTTTCTTTGTAGAAAAGGGTCACTTAATTTCCCCTAGTGGTTGTAAATATTTTAATACCTCCAAAGAAAATGAAATTTTATATTCTTCCTCTCAGTATGGCACCTGTACAAAATCACAAATGAACAAAATTATTTTTTAAAATGAATTTAACAACAGAAGTGAGGGGAAAAGAGGGTTGTCATTAAGACTACAAACAGCTATAATTTTTTTCCCCCTGGTTTTCTCTTGAAATGAAGGACTATTCTACTGAGAGGTTAAAGAAAACCAATGAGATACTCAAGGGCATTAAGCTATTAAAGCTGTATGCCTGGGAGCACATATTTTGTACGAGTGTGGAAGAAACAAGAATGAAAGAGCTCACCAGTCTCAAAACCTTTGCACTTCATACATCTCTTTCCAGTAAGTAACTGTGTTTTTAGTGCTTGAAAAATTATCCTGTCTTTCATATCAACGTTCCTCCCAACTTCAGCTAAAGAAAGATAGAGCTATGCCTGTGACACTTTTGTCTGTGTGTAATGTCATTAAAATAAAAAGGCATGATAAACACATAACACAGAAGTTCGAAAGGATAAAATACATATTTTTGGGGGTTTTTTGCAGTAAGTTTTCTGTTACCTTCATTGTGACATTACGGTTAGGAGCTGCTTTATAGTAAGGAGGCTCCAGGTAATATTGGCAGCTCTGACAGCAGCAAAGATAGCTTATATTTTCTGCATATAAATTGTGTTTTCTGCAATGTAGAAGGGTTGAGTAATGTTTTAGTTGTGTTTGATATTAATTGTGCACATAATGATTTTTATCCCAGCTTAGCAGAGTAGACAAATGAGAGAATTCCATGGCTTATTTGTTGGTGTGTTTAACATCTCTGACTATCATGGAAGGAAATTTCTTCCTGCAGACTAATTTTCTTTTGGGAGTTTTAATTACTTGAATTGGAAATAACTGGATTATTTTAGTGTCATACAGTTACTGTAAAATTGTTTTTTCTTATTTCCTATAATCAGATGCTTATTTTATTTATCTTTCCCAGTTTTTATGAATGCAGCCATACCAATAGCAGCTGTTCTTGCAGTAAGATATGATTTTTTTTTTCCTTATTAAAAAGTTTTCCTTATTAAAAAGTTTTCCTTATTAAAAAGGGAGAGGAATGTGGGGGAGGGGGTGTAAAAAGGAAGAAAGGGCACCATTGTTATTGTAGGACCTATTCTTCATAAAACCAGCAGGTGAATTAAGGTGCCCCTGCTAACTGTAGAAGAACATGACACTGGAAGTTTTCATTCCCAGAAGGTGGATTGGTAAAACCAAAGAGAAAAATAATTTTTTTACTATAGGAAAGAAAAATCATTACATTGTGAAAAAAGAAAGAAAGAAAGAAAGAAAGAAAGAAAGAAAGAAAGAAAGAAAGATCATTGCAAATTGATAGACCCATTTTGAAAAGCTCTTTTTGAAAGGGGTTTTGAGTGTCTTTTCTTTTTCTTTAGCAGCAAAATTCATTCCTGTTTCAAAATGCATTATGAGGCACCATTAAAGTTTGAAGAAAAGATACTCTGCAGTTTAAAGAGAAATAAATTTTGCTTGTCCTCCAGGTTTAAGTCTCAGTCTCATGCACTAGAGGAACTATGCCATGCTGGTCAGTAAGGAGCTCTTACAGACCAAATTTTGGGGGCAGAGTATGCTGAGTGTGTAGAAGAATTGGAACATTTATGACCATAATTCTTCATCTGTGAAAAAACCCTTAAGATTTGTTATATTATTAATAGGTTTTTTTCTGGATTGTGTGTTTCCTGTAAATCCTAAAGTCAACTACAAAGCTGTAATCAAATGCCAGATTTTACAATGAAAATTGTAAAAGTTGAAAATTTTCACTCTTCAGCGTGTAAACCTCTTGAAGTCACTGGCAAGAATTTAAAATCTATTTCGCTTTAACAGAACACACTTTTCTCTTCAGTTTATCGTGATTGCCAGTGAACTTAGGTAGTTATTAGCCTTAGCTGAGCAAAATATTTTGCATGCTATCCTTGTCCATCTTGTTCAAGAGTCCTTGTCCTGACATGCTCTTTCCCTGATGTGACAGACCTTTGTGACTTATGCATACACAAATGACAAGCCACTGCAGCCTGCCCAGGCATTTGCATCCCTGTCACTGTTCCACATCTTGGTCACACCTCTGTTTCTGCTCTCCACCGTGGTTCGTTTTGCAGTCAAGGCCATTGTGAGGTAAGTGATTCTTCTCCTTCCTCCAACTCCTGAACACTCACATTCAGTACCAGAAAAAGTTGTTTCAACCAGCTTATGTGGAAGAGTGTTGTGAGGTGGGACTCTGATGCTAAAGATGTGAGAGAAATCAGAGTGACCCTTCCTTTTTACTTCATGACACAGAGACAAAGAAACACAGCACAGGAAGGACAGGGAGCTGCTAGAGCCAGTCCAGAGCAGGGTCACCAACGGGATCAGAGGGATGGAGCAGCTCTGCTGGGAGGAAAGGCTGAGGAAATTGTTCACTGGGATTGTTCATCCTGGAGAAGTTTTGGGGTGACCTCATTGTGGTCTTGCAGTGCCTGAAGGGAACCCACAGGAAAGATGGAGAGAGACTCTTGACAAGGGCCTGGAGTGACAGGACAAGGAGGAATGGCTTCACAGTGACAGAGAAAAGGTTTAGATTGGATATCAGGAAGAAATTGTTCCCTGTGAGGGTGCTGAGGCCCTGGCACAGGTTGCCCAAAAAAGCTGTGGCTGCCCCAACCCTTAAAGTGTTCCAGACCAGGTTGGATAGGGCTATAAGCAAGCTGGGATAGTGGATGGTGTCCCTGCCCATGTCAGAGAGGTTAGAACGAGGTGGTCTTTAAGATTCCTTCCAATCTAGGCCATTCTGTGATTCTGTGATTCCTAATGTTCCATTCTTTTTACATTTTCACTAACTTTGGCAGTTGGGATTCAGAGCTGCACTGTCCTTCCTTGGAGATGCTCCTACTCTCACACTCTGACCACCCAAAACCACTCTTCCCTAGCACTTTCTGGGCTCTTGTCAGCACTGAGGGGGTGAAAAAGCCTGGTGTGAAGTTCTCTAGCAAGACCAGCCCTGCTGAAGCAAGGAAGAGTAACTGGCTAAACGCTATCTCCACGTAAAGTACATTGGGCTATAAGTGAGAATTTAATGATGTCCTGCATCCTGTTCCAGGTATTTATTTCTGTAAAACAGCCCAACAGAGCAGCTTCCTTCATGATGGGCTATAGGGCACTTAATCTTGAAGGAGCAGATTGGTATAAGTTGAATTTCAGCCTTTTTGGGTGTTGTGTTTATGAAAGCCTGTATGGACAGGGTCACAGTCATAGCGTGGTTATGCAGACCTGCACACCACCAAGATGTCCCAAGAGGTGCAAAACTGGCTGGCAGTAAAGTGTCAGGTGCCAAGCACTAGCAGGATGTGAAGACAGAACTAACCTTCCCACCCAGAAACATCATTCCTTCATGCCAAGGCTGAGGCACATTGGCAAGATATGGCATTGCTGCTGTCACTGCCTGTTTTTAGTGGGTAATGGTAATATCAAACAGCAGTCAAGGGGACTTCAGGCTCCACAGCTGTCCTTTGCCAGTGCCACACTGACTTTAAAAAAAACAAACAAAAAAAATTAACAGAGTTTATTTTTATCAAAGCAGCAGCAGGAGCAGGTGTTTTCCCTAGGTTGAAAATGATTTCTGAGTAGTGGAAAATCTCCAGCCTCCTCTATAAATCATCCAAGCCTCTACATCTCTGAACTCTGCTTAGCATAGCCCTAATATCAAAATGGTGTGTACATTTTCCTTAACACTGCTGGGCACCCCCAGGGCAATATTTAAGATCAGATTTGCCAAAACAAACTGCATCCTTTGTCAAACTAATTTCCTAACATCCTTCTTCCATGAAAATCATGTCCCCCAACTGAAGGATAAAGAATGTGTGTTTGGCCACTCTGTGGCCCTATCCTCAATCAAATACATACACGAATATGGGCTTATTATTTTTGTGATTAAGAGCTTATACTTTGGTCAGAATCTCAATTTTCTGTTCAAGAGTAGTTCTAGTGCCACTAAAACTTCTGAGGGTACCTCATTCAAATGCAAAGTAAGGGTCAATGTCATTTTAGGTGCACGATCAAAACAAGGTCTTGTATATTCTAAAAGAAAATAAATTCTTGCTTATCCCCTTATGTAAGACTGAAATTCTGATATGGAAACATATCAGAATTTATGGGGCACATAAGTTTTCTGTTCAAGAGAGGAGACAGGAATAGGCATGCTGGTAGGAGGAAATAATGACAATAGCAGTGCTTTCTTGCTAACCTGTCTCTCTGTAGCTTGAAGATGTAGTGATAATTTAATACAAAATACACAGACAGGCTTTGAAATAGACTACTTTCTCATTTGCAGATTAATGTTCAAATCCCTGATCTGAAGGCATATGTCCTTCTGCTTTCCCAGTCTCTGGCCCAATGCACCTTGATTTTAGTTTTTGCAAGGTAATAACTTCACCACGACTGGTGTGTGATTTTGTTCATCCCCTCCCTGGAATCATAAAGACCCAGGTGCTTACAGCACTCTGAAAGGAAGGGGGACAGAAAGAGGATCAAATTCCTCTGTGATGAAGAATGAATTGAACTTGTATGCTGTGTTTCCCAGTAGACGATTTTAAGAACTAAGAAAAGAGTTGCTGTGTGTCTCCAGGGCTGGCCATGGCTGTGCTGAGGTGTGCAGTACCCAGCCCCCATATGCATGATGTGCATAGAACCATGGAATCCCAGAATATGCTGAGATGGAAGGGACACATCAGGATCATTGAGTCCAGCTCCTGGCCCTGCACGGAACACCCCAGGAATCCCACCCTGTGCCTCAGAGTGGTATCCAAATGCTTCTTGCACTCTGTCAGCCTTGCAGCTGTGACCACTTCCCTGGGGAGCCTGTTCCAGTGCCTGACCACCCTCTGGGTGAAGAACTTTTTCCTGATATCCAACCTAAACCTCCCTGACACAGCTTCATGCTGTTTCCTTGAGTCCTGTCACTGGTCACAGAGAGCAGAGATTGGTAGTTGCCTCTTCACTTCCTGTCATGAAGAAGCTGCAGAACTTTCCCCTTCATTTCCCCTGGTGACAAAGCTGCAGAACTGCTGTGAGGTCTCTCCTCAGTCTCCTCTTCTTCAGGCTGAACAAGCCAGGTGATTTCAACTGTTCCTCATGTGGTTTTCCCTCCAGACCCTTCACCATCCTCATGACCTGCTTTGGACTGTCTCTAATAGCTTTAGTGTCTTTTTTTATAAGATGCAAAAGCTGTGTCAGGATGCACCCACTGCCCTGGCATTTCCAGAGGATGGAGGTGGGTGAATGACTTATTTCTGCACCCTGACTGCAATGGCCTGAGAAAGGCACAGAAGAGATAAGCCTGCCAAGAGGGAAACCATTCCCACGGAGCTCCCTTGGCACCCTCATGGCTTGCTCTGCTCTTCATTCCCAGCTACCAGTACAATGCTTAATTATTTTCATCTGTCCTTCCACACACATAAATCTTCATTTGCCATCAGGGTGGTAGATGAAAGTATCCCAAGAACTTCTTTTGGAACATTTCTGATAAATCCTGCTGGCGTGACTGCACAAAAAAGGAAATGTATTTGTGGAAACCTAGGTTTATGTAACTCACTGTCCACTGTTTTCTTTCAAGTGTACAGAAGCTGAATGAGTTTCTCCTGAGTGATGAGATTGGAGATGACAGCTGGAGAGGGGGGGACAGCTTTGTACCTTATGAATCCTGTAAGAAGCACACGGGACTTGTAAGTTGTGCTTTATGATATTGAATTTCAAAGCAGAGAGGCCATATAGCCCATACAAGGCCAGTGGCCAAGCTGACAGAACCTGGGAGGTTTTATTCCTAGCCTGACTCTAATATTGACCAGTTTTGCCTCTTTTATATCCTAATCTCTGTGTTTTTATGATATGAAGGGTCCCCAAACACACTTAAGCATTGCTGAAGTGTCAACAGTAAAAAAAAAAAAGCAACCTAAACCAACCATGATATGCCAACATATTTAAATATTACTAAAATTCAACCTTCTTTGTTTTTATAGAAGGCCCAGGTGGATATCTTGTGGTTATGGGATTTGTACTGTATGTTGCCTGTACAATCCATTTTATACTGGGCATCCTTAGGGAGGAGCAATTCCTGTTTTGGGAAATTCAGAATTAAAGGTGGAAAAAACAACACCAAACTTTATGAAATAGGAATTAATTCCAAAATGCTGTTTCTAGAGTACTAAACATAGAGTTAATTTGAGTAAAATTTGAAGACAAAAAACTACAATGAAGGTGATTTGGGAAAAGGTGTTTTATTCATTTTGACATTTTTCTATATATTTAAACAGTTTCAAGCTGACTGTACAATTTGAAATGTGACTGAAACTTGAAGACAGAAACAGAAAGAAAGGATTAGCACAAAATAAATTTTATTTTAGCTTGCCAACCTGAAACAACACCTTTCTTGTTTTTCTGGGCTAACGAGGATAACAAAAGAAACAAAAATGAGATTGTTTCAGCTTTTATTTTATTTGTCCTGTCCACCTTTTGCTTAGCCTTACAGAGACTGCAGATGATGGGGAGAGGGTTTGAAAGGGATGGTAGAGATTAAATTTGGGATGGTTATGCATGGGAAGCAAAACATCCCAATATTTTCTCTGCTTCAACTAAGGGTGTTTAGAACATTTAAAATGTGTGCATGATAGTGTTGTATCTCTATTATCACATATTGAAAAGCACTGGCTGCTTTTCCTGAGCTGGAATGGTGGTAGGAAAGGGAATGGATTGTTTGCTTTACAGGGCACCAAATGCTGTCTTCTCACGAGGATTCCAACTCCTCTCCTGTTTTCACTTCTCTCTCTGTAGCACACCAAGGCCATCAACAGGAGGCAGCCCCTGAGGTATCAGCTTGAAAGCTATGAGCAGCCTGCAAGGAAGCAGACACAGCCTGTGGAGATAGATGATGTGGCCATTAAGGTGGTTTGGAAAATGTTTTCCCTCATGAAAATAGGGCACAGGTCCTCCTGCAACAGCACCTGAGGGTGCCCAAGTGCTGCTGTTATTTCAAATTTTTCATGGAAAGAGCAAGCCCTTAAATAAGTTAGCACTCTAGCCAAATTTACAGTGAGAAGCATGAGCTTCAGACCAGTTTTTACAGTCTTTACCAGTTATTTTGTGTCTTCTCAGGAAACAAAGAGGCATCATGAATCTGATGTCCAAGTCTTTAGTCTCGTATTTGACAGAATGAAAGTATTTGGTAAATAGAGCTCAGCTCGAGATCATCCCTTTCTTGCCTTACATACATTATATACATTTGTGTATTTATCTTTTCTTACCCATAATTTTTTGGGGTTTGGCAATCTTTACAAACTTTGCTTGCTTTTATCTCTGTGTGTACAACAATACCACACTGTGTTCATTAATCACAGATTTATTTTATGAAGGCATTTTAAATCTAAATTAATAATTTTAATTTTTCCCCTGCTGTTTTTAAATATCTGATTTGTGGTAATTGTTTTGTAGGTGACCAATGGATACTTTTCATGGGGAAGTGGTTTAGCTACACTGTCCAACATAAACATTAGAATCCCAACAGGTAGGATGAAAGCACACCTTAAATATGAAATATATAATGTCAAATTGTTATAAATTCCACTTCTTGATGTTTTGAAATGGACAAAGATATACATTTAGAATTTTATAAGAAAAAAATGGAGTTTAAAAGTTTATACAAGGTCATGAGCTGTATTGTTCATATAGGAATATCAATAGATAAATTATGTGGCTTTTATATATCTATATAGTTTATATAGTTTTATAATAGCACAAACTAAGTCAAGAGTTAGAATAAAAATGAAAAAATCGTTGAAAAAATATCATTATTATTTTTAATAGAGAAATTGAAAAAAAAGAAAGAGGAGAACTCCAGACTCATTCAGCCAAGGGTCCATCTAACTATGTTATTTTCAGCAACACTCATGTATTATACTTTTCTTGCCATTTATGAACATTACAGTCTTCCAGTTCACAACTATTTTCATTCAGAAGATGGAGATTTTCTGTCAAGAAATCCTTAATTATTTTGTTACTTAATGAATTTCTCTTTATCAAGCTGAGTTCCTGTAATTCCCTGCATCCTCAGTGGCTTTGGCTAGGGATTCCACAGGTTTACAAAATGCTGGTTTGTTTCAGAATACTTGCATAGCAAGTGTGAAAAGTAGCAACTATTATTTTTTATTATTATTAATAATAACAACAATAATTTTTTGTTGTTGATAATGCTGTAATATTCATAACACCATCTTCTGGCATTTCATGTTATTAAATAGTCTTATGCTTTATTTTGATCGCCTATCAAGGGCTTTGTTTTAAAATAGAGTATTACTTTAGGTTGGTGTCACATGGTGATTTAGTAATGCCCAATCCTGGATGATTTGTTTCCATGTAGCCTTAAGTGTCACCAGCAGAATGTATATGCTCCAGGAGTTTACAGTCTGAGGTCATGAGTTCACAGGCTGGGTGAGGCAGAGTTTGCCTCCTTTGGAAGGAATAAGACCCTTGGCTCCCAGCTGGAGCGAAGCTTAACTGGAAATTTTCCAGTACCTAAAGGGGGGCTACAAGAAAGATGGAGAGAGACTATTGACAAGGTCCTGGAGTGACATGACAAGGGGCAATGGCTTCACAGTGACAGAGAAAAGGTTTAGATTGGATATGAGGAAGAAATTGTTCCTTGTGAGGCCCTGGCACAGGTTGCCCAGACAAGCTGTGGCTGCACCATCCCTGGAATTGTCCAAGACCAGGTTGGATGGGGCTGAGTGAGCTAGGCTAGTGGATGGTGTCCCTGCCCACGGCAGGGGGATGGAATGAGGTGATCTGTAAAATCCCTTCCAACACAAACATTCTGTGAGTCTATGAAATGCACTGGCCAGCACAATTAGTGAGTTCAATCAGTTTATGGGAAGATCTGAAAGCACCGTTGTCACTGCAGAGTGGGACTGGAGGTAGGAAAGTGTTTGTGTTGGGGGGGAAGGGGAAGTACAGCAAAGCAAAGAGTAATGGATCTTCTTTTGTTTATTTATTAGATTGGCCCAAATTAATCTCAGTTCATTCATTAGATTGGTCCAAATTTTCATGGAACTCCAGGCTGAATAATCACTCCCCATCATATATTGTTTGACCCTAAATAACTTTCTTAAGTTCCATAAAACAAATGCTAATACAGGTAAGAGCAAAAGTCTCATTCCTTTGGAGATTAGTGTGGTACTGCAAACCATTAATGTTTCCACAGATGAATGCATGCAATATTGCTCATTAAGTAGTGGATGTTAAAAAATTTTTTTAATCACTTCAAGTTCTCTAGAACTGAATCTAGCTGGGCCTTGTGAACTAGAGTAGAACTGTTTTCTTTTTCTTTTAAAAAAGTGTTTTGTTGTTTTTACTGTTATCATAGGTCAGATGACAATGATTGTGGGCCAAGTTGGCTGTGGCAAGTCTTCACTTCTCCTTGCTATATTGGGAGAGATGCAAACCCTGGAGGGAAAAGTTCACTGGAGCAAGTATGTTTATATATCTATTAATTGCTGTATTCATTTAAGGAGGAGGCTGAGATTTGCTGTGAGAAATGTAAACTTCATGCCTCAGAACTGCATGTTGAGTGATTACCATCATCCAAATTCTCTCTGGAATGCATCACCTGCAAACTCAGGAGGGATTTTTCACTGTTTTGTCATGTGCAGAGCAGGGTGCCCCAGGAAGGGAAAGAGGCTAGTCTGGTGATTAATATCTAATATACTGGCCTAGCAAATGACCTGGATAGAAAGCATAGGCTATTCCTTTTATCAAATAGGCTTCAATACTCACTATAATTGAAGGCAGCATTGTCACATTGTTCCTGTACCCAGCAGTGAATGTGTGGAGCTTCTACAGCCCAGTGGGATCTGTGGGGTGCCAGCCTAAAGGAAATGATGTATTTCCACTCAGAGCCACTGTTACTGATGGCAGAAAAAAAATTACATATAAGCAATGTTTTTCTCCTTCCCTGGTACCCACCCAGGCCTCACCTATAGAACAGTGTCACTCAAAAAGCAGCCTGAGCACACCATACACCTTAAAAGTAAAGGCTGGGCAGAAGCTGTTTCTGAAAGGAGAACTGCCCATGAGGTCAGACCTTGGATTCAGAATCAGTGAATGAGAACTTCCTACGAAATGAAGTGGGGCAGCAAGCACTCTTCAAGCCTAGGCAGGGCAGAGACAGTGGAAGTGATATGCTGTAACCCCAAGACTTGTTCTTTGGTTTTAAAGATCAGTTCTGTTTCTTTAAAACTATCAAGCCAAACTCCTCTCAATTATCTTTTTGCTGAGAAAAGAGGGAATTTTGTCACATAGACCAATATTTTGTTGCCCTATCTCTTGATTTGTAACCGCCTTTGTCATATTTTTCTTACAGCAATGTTGTAAACTGGATGTTTTTTGCTTTTCCTGTGATAGTATCCATGGCATTTTTGCTCTCTAACTATACTTCACTTTCTGCTATTCTAAACATATGATCTCACTGCAGTAGCAGGTACAGTTGAAGCGAAGGCTACACTAAATTTAGTTTAATTATATATGAATTTAGGCCTTGAAGGAAGAAGAATATGTGACCTACCACAGTTAATTTCTTTGAGACATGCAATGAAAGTTTTTATACCACAATCAGCCATAGTTTTTCTCAGTAGTTTAAAAAAAAAAAAGGAATAAGTAGAATGTACCTTGAAATTATTCTCACAATTGTCTTGAAAGAAGTATTTGAGAAAGACTCAGATTTTTCCTAGATAAAGATATGGAACCTTGGAAAGATAAGAAAAAATGAGAAATCATAGAAACATAATAGATGCAGCTTATGAAATGTTTTGTAATGATGAATTGTGAAAAAAATCCAGAAGATTTTTAAGACAGAGAATCATGCTGTCAGTTCAAGAGAGAGAATCATGCTGTCAGTTGATTAGCACTGTACATCACCACAACACCAAGAAACTCAGGTTTTAGCCACCATCTCAGATTTTTTTCATTGCACAGTATAATTGTGATATAGCTGATTTAAACATGGTTATATTTTGCTGGTAATTTCAGACTGCCTGGCAGACAGATGAATGCAGAAGGAGACTTCAGGTATTTAACTAAGTGGCTCCTGTATTTTGTAAAACCATAATAAAGGTCCTATTTACTCTTTTAAGTTCCTTTCCATGTGATTCTCCATGCATGACTAACACAGCTACCGATTCGGGGATAAAATACAGGCTAGGTGAATTCCTTTGCAAATTCAGCTGTAGCAACACAATAATTGTAAGCATGGATAACTTTGCAGCCCCACTTGTATTGGGACAATCCTGCAAGGCATCACTGGGATTCAAATGCCCTGTTGCTGTGGAGGCTGACTGCAGTGTGAGCTGTGTGCCCTGCTGCCAGGGTTGTCACTGCTTTGGCATCTCAGGGAAATAAAGCATGGCCATGTATCTTTCTGTAAAAGATCTTGGCCAGGGGAAATCTTATGGGCTGGGTCTCAGGTTTTCCACTTCTATGAGACACGACCCAGAGATGTGACATCCTTAGACATGGAGCTGGGTTTTTGTTTTCCCAGTGAGCAATCAGGTTGAGAGTCTTGTATAGACACTGGTGCATGGGGCTGTCTGGGTGTAATCATTCAGCCAAGCCTGTTTCAGATGAGAGTTATTTATTACTAAGTTATTTCTTAATAATTTGTAGGAATCATACAGAGATATGTATTCCCCTCATGCACATCAAGCCAAACAATCAGAACCATCTTCTCAGACTGCCAAGCCAAGAGGGGCTAAGTGGAAACTTTCACTTGCTATGTGTTTTTTTCTACATTGAAATGGATTGTGTGCAAACAGCTTGTTGTATGCTAAGTGGAAAGCTCAGGAAACACAAGAACTGTTAAATAGAACCTCAAAAATGGCCTGTTTTGTCCTCAATTATCCAGAAGGATGTGACAGATATTAGGAAAAGTCAGTGCTCCCCTCAGAAAGATTGCCAAGTGCAATACTCATCCAAAGATTACAACCACAGGAGCTCACAGAAAGCACTGAAGGTCATAATGAGCACTGGAGGGATAAAAAATCATCCACATAAATGACAGCGGCCAAAACCAGCAGAACTACCAGTTCTGGTTGCAGGGACAGGCCTAAATTCCTCCAAACTCCTGTGTGGAATTTGTGTAGATGCTTGGTCCTCACCTTGCCTCAATTTCCTGCCTATATTAACAGAAATGGTTCATTCTGTGACTACAGGAGTACCCCAGAGATTTTGTACACCTTTCTTCTCCCTCATTACTTTGTAGGATGAGGGAATCAGGGCCTGCTCAGACATGCTTTAGTCTATTTTAAAATATTATAAGTTACCATAAAAGTGTCTAAACGTCAACAAGAACTCTTTTTTATTTTTCCTAAAACCTGGATTTCAATTGATTTCTTATTTTTTTGCTTGTTTGTTTTTTTCATCTTATATATTCAAAATCCTATAAAAATTACTGATTAGTTTGGCCCTTCCTACAGTTTCAGACTTGAACTTACCACACCCCATTATGGGCAATACGTATATTTTATAGTACAGCTAAAAATCAGTATAAATAGCCACATTTCAATAAATAAATGAACTAGAGGAAATAAATGCTAATCCCCTCAGGCAAATAAAATACCTTTTTTAGAAATCTCAGGAGCTTCAATTTCAGCCCACTCCCATGCCCTGTAATCACATCACTCTCTCAAATGCATGAGGATAATAAAACCAAATACTTAATCCCCTTGTTTGTGAAGGTCCTAGCTCACTAAAGGTCTTGTCTTCTCTCTGTTTATTCATGGGATTATTGGCAAATGTGGGTTCTCACAGAAATCTCATTCATAATTTGGGATAATCAAAGTCTATTTGTCAAGCTAACCCAGGAATGAAATTTCTAACCACGGAAAAAGGGTTTAAGAAACAGAGCTCTTAAAATTAGTCCTTATCCATTGAGAAAGTCTGTTTGGTTATCATGGCAACCAGATTAAATCTGGCATGGAATTGCAAGGAGTCTTGCAAGGCTTGTGCCCAGTTTTTCTTGACTTGTAGTTCAGAAGGTGCTCCTAAACTTATAGCTGAAAGCATTTTCTCTTTACCACTGCAGTGCTCTCCTAATAAAAGCTCGGAGGTCTTGAATAGATCAAGTTTAGGGTTTCTTCTTCTTGTTTACCTTCACCTAATTCCCAGTCCATTTTCAAACTCTTCTTAGATTTCATCTTTTGCTTTCTTGTGACTTTTTTTTCCATTGTAGAGAAAACTGGAAACCTCTGCTGAATAAGAGACCAAGTTTTAGTGAGGGGCTGTCTGTTTTGACCCTCAATGTGTGGCTCTCTGGCACTTCTGAGACTTATTCCCCTCTGATGCAGCACCTTCTCTGGCAATTGGTGCATGAAGAAAATGCAGACTGTGCATTTTAGGAGGCCTGAATTATCCAAGTCCTCAGAGAGCTGATGTGCAGTACAGAAAACAACATGTCTCAGTTCTGGCATTTTGGAAAGATGCTTAATCCATGAGTCTGGCATTCCAAGGACTCTGTTTGCTATTAGAATTTTTATGTTCTTTCTAGGCTTGGAGAGCCTGCTAATGATTGCAGCTGCACTTACTGGTATCCCAGCAGTCAAGCAGCCATTTCTATCTCAACATGAAAGTGTTTCATCTGGAGTGTTCATAGGCTTGAGAGAAGAGAATTTGTTTGCTCATGGCTTTTTTATAAAGTCAGGAAAATAATATTTTAGCATGAGTTTTCTACCCCCTTCCAATGCCTATTTCTATCTACCTGGTACAATCTCTTTTAGGTTTTGCATTTTGCAGTGATTCATCCCCATGTCTGGAATGAGCACCATTGCTGGTCCAAAACTACTTTCCCTGCCATTCCAGGCTCTTGACACTGTTAAAAAGTCAATTAACAAACAGAGGAAGCTGCAAAATTATTCATGTCATGGCTAATATTTGAATGCTTTTCAAAATGTATTTCTTAAGAATATGATCCTTAAGAAGTGGAGGATGACAAGGAAAACCTACATGTTGTAGGGCTCTGCAGTTTTATGCAGTCTTAGTGCTACAAAGAGATTCAAAACAGATCAAAATCTCTTCTGATCCTACAGTGTGGCTGCAAAGCTTGTCTTTACTCCAGGAGAAATATGACATCAGTTATCAACTTCTGCAGGCCACTGGTAGAACTGTGTGGGGAAACTAACTTATTGCTTGCCAGGCAATATTAATATTTGAATTTTTAATAGGTTTTATGATACAATTTTCATTTTAAATACATTTTCTAACAACATAATTTGCCTGTTTAGCCACTATGCCTTGTAGATATGAAACTGTCACGTTTTGAGAAGTATTATGGTTTTGCTTAGACCTTGTTTGTTTTCCTTTCAAGAACATATAAACCCAAACTTGTGCTGAGTTCCTAAAGTATGTAATTAATTCCAGGTTCACTGTGTGTAAAACTAGCACAAAATGTTATTCTTTATATTTCCTGCTTACTAAATGTCATTTACCATAATTTACAGTGTAAATGAAACTGAACCTTCTGTTGAAGCATCCAGAAGGTATTATTTCTTTTATAGAGTATCATAAAACACTCATTAATTTCTTCAGAATTTTCCCAAATCCTCATCTTTGTGCTCTTAAGCTATCTCTGTGTTTCCTTACCATGTTGGTAATTGTTTACTGTGGGATTGATAGCCTGTGCAAATCCAGTGGATCCCACACTTCTCCCGCCAGTGAACCACTACCTCTGTCTTTTGTCTGAAAGATGCTCAGCTCCCATCTGACATCAGTGAGAGTTCAGTGTGCTCCTTGCTATGCAAGGCAGAATCTTTGGGTATGAAGCATCATTAGATGTCTCTTCCCATGTGTTTTTGAGTTTTCTGCCCAGCACTGGGTTCCCCATGGTGCCTAACCTGGGATGGGATGGAGCAGAGCACAGAGGGAGCCAGCTCAAGCCAGCTCCAGCTGAAGCCAAGCTGGGACTCCACCCCTGGCTCCATGTTTAAAAGAAGGACAAGCTCCACTAAAAGTATGTCATAAATGACAGAGAGGTAGTGGCACACAGAGCTGCGGTTGGGAGCCACACCATGATTCGCTGCCCCATAATCTTGAGGATGTATTTCATATGAGTGCATATGAACAGCTAAAACTCCTGGAAGTTTTGGGATATTGCTGACAGCTTCTAACCAGCTGTTTCTCCTGCCTTAGCACCCCCTCTCTCAGTAGTAAATCCTATATGCTTACAAATGAAGCTCAGCAAATGTTTTGGTGGAAGCAATACCATCAAAGAGACTGAGAAGGAACCTCATTGTGGCCTTCCAGAACTGGCATGGAGCCTAAAGAAAAGATGGAGAGAAACTCTTTACAAAGGCCTGGAGTGACAGAACAAGGGGAATGGCTTCACACTGACAGAGAGCAGGTTTAGACTGGATATTAGAAAAAAATTATTTATTGTATGTGTAGTGAGGCCCTGGCACAGACTGCTCACAAGCTGTGGCTGCCCCATCCCTGGAAGTGTTCAAGGCCAGGTTGGATGGGGCTCTGAGCAACCTGGGCTAGTGGAAGGTGTCCCTGCCCATGAGTGGGGTTGGAATAAGATGATCTTTAAGGTCCCTTCCAACCCAGGCCATTCCATGATTCTATGATAAGTGTTCAGATCCATGAGCTGGTACCAGTTCACACCTTCCTCACATCACCTTGGGCATCTCAGAAAAATTTCTGAAATTACATGACCATTTTTGCTGCTGTACCTTGGCAAAACAGACAGAAGTAAAGAACATTCATGCTCCTATTGATAAATGTCATTACGCATTCAGACACATTTATATTGTCTAATAAATCCTTGGGAGGCTACTGTGATTTCTTCCCAATCTGTATTAAAATGTCCTCTTTTCCAATATCATTGAGGGTCTAATAAACTGAAAGGAAAAAAAAGTATTCACTGAGAAACAAGTATTTTATATGTGTGGCCACATAAAATAGTCTCACACTTCAGAAAGCAGCAAGTCAAGTGTGCCAATGCCATTTGAACAGTGCCTTTTCTCTCTGTGTTTTCATGTTAGAGAAAATAATGCCAAATAACTATTCCTGTGAGAATTTAATATTTCTAGTGTCATTTATAATTTCCATTTGGATTTGAATTGCAATTACTACATTGAGGTAGGTACCAGCCTTTTATAGTAGAATGGAATGCAACCTGGACTGTCGATTTTGCCATCAGGGGAGAGAGTGGGTGCTGTTCTAACAAAAGCATCGAATTTAAAACTCTTCCCTTCTTTTTGTTTTGCTTATGTGTTCCCCTGTGTTTTTCTGAATGCACATTCATGAAATTAACTTTAAAAAACCTGATTATCAAACATTTTATAGTGTGAGGGCTTTGTTTCTTACTAAAACTCTGTGTCTGTCTGCAGTAGGAACAGGTACTCCGTGGCTTATGCAGCTCAGAAGCCGTGGCTGCTCAATGCCACCGTGGAGGAGAACATAATCTTTGGCAGCCCCTTTAATAAGCAGAGGTAAATATCCACCTCCTTGCAAAAACACCTGGCAGCTCCTTTTAAAGAGGGGTTTTTGGCATCTTCTGGAGGAAGTTTTTAGATTCTGGAAAATATCAATCAGTGCATGCTAAACCTGTGGTGGATTTAGCTGACCTGACTTAGTTCATCTCAGAGGAAGGTTTCTGGTTTAAGCCAGAATGCTCCTCTAACCAGAGCATGTGTCTAAGATGTTTGTGAGAAATCCCACAGTGGAAGTGGGTCTCCATAGAATACAGCTGAAGCCATATGTGTCATTTCCAAGGTGAGATGAATCCCATTTCTGGAGACTACTTATGTAATTTTCTTTTGTTTAATGGAGCCCAAGGTTGCCAAAGAACTCTGGAAAATGGGATTCTAGGCATGTTTCCACTGAGTTTATGTGCTAGTCCTGCTGTGATCAAGTTACTGGAGCAGCCACTTTCCAAAAACAGCATTTATGAAGATGGGGTGCCTCCAGGGAATGGCCTTGATTCTTCCTTTGGAAATACAGGAGAAGGAAGTACGAAAGCTGAGGTGCACAGCTTATGTTGTGCCTACCCAACATCTGCTTCTTCCATCCTTCTGAAAGGTCAATTAACAAATGTGAAAAAATGACTGGACTTCAGGAAAACAAATTGCTGATGTTTTCAAAGGCAACACTCTCTCTGTTTTCAGTTACTGAAAAAACACCCAGTTCCTCTCAGTCTGTGCTGTGTTAAGATGTATGACTCCATTCTGACTTGATAAAGCCTAACCATGACCACATGCCTTGAAATCCAGAAAAGCACCAAAATTTCAGGGACCAGAATCTTCAGCCACTGTATCCATCAGCTTGTTTCAGTAGCTTCAAAGGGGCAAGGCTGAGTTTCATCACTCATATAGTCTGATCCCAGCTGCTCATCAGCAGATCACTGCTACAGACCCAGAAATCTCACAAAAAAAATTTCAGCATTTTGCAAGTGGTTTGCTGGTTCTGGTAAGACCAGAAGCACTGTAACGACCCTTTATTCGGTAACATCACTCCAAAGAAAATGAAGAGGCACTTAAAGGGAGAAGGCTAAAAACTCAATGGAAAATGCCTTCAAACACTCTGGAGTGTAACAAAACAACTCCATGATAGGGAGGAATGTACTCAATAATTTACATAATTTAAAAGCAGTCTTGCCAATAAAAGCTTCTAATAAAGAGGTAATTTTTTTACAATGCTTCATTTACAATGCTCTAGGATTATTTCTCAATAATCATTTTGTCCTACTTATTTTTGCAATTATCCATCCATCACAGAGCAATAAAAACTTTGTGGTGTTGTCTACCTGGAGGTTTTTGTGTTAACAGAGTGAGTGGCTGGGTAAACAATTGCAATGACCACGTTGTTTTTCCAGATACAAGGCTGTTACAGATGCCTGTTCTCTGCAGCCTGATATTGACTTACTGCCATTTGGTGACCAGACAGAAATTGGAGAAAGGGTAAATAATGTGAATGCTTTAATCTCTGCTTGGCCTTTGTATTAAGAAGACACTCCCTGATGTCACTCAGACAGTTCTAGTCTGTATTGGGCTGCCAGACTGGTAAATAATTGTAATTCACCAAGGGTTACTACCCAAAACAGTTGAAATCTCTTCTGCTTCTTCAGCTATTTCTCAAATGGGATTTCTTGACCAAAGTCTCCCATATTTTGCTTGCAGAATTTGATGCTGGTATTGGTTATACTTTCAATCGAAAAAGCCGACTGTGCTCAGAGCAGCTTCTCATAATTTACATTTACCCATGAATAATAACTTTCCTTCTGATATTATACGAGGACTATGCTTGTTTATCGATATAATTAGCATTTTAATGAAGTTTTTTATTTACTATACATCCTATAATTGTAAAAAAAATCACATTTCCAAAGGCCTGTCATAATGTGTATTCAAAGATGCCTATTTCTGATCCATTTGAATCATTAGGGGATTAATTTAAGTGGAGGCCAACGACAGAGAATCTGTGTAGCTCGAGCACTCTACCAGAACACCAACATTGTCTTCTTGGTAAGATTTTTCTTGTTTGCATGGAGCGTGCAAAGTTAGTAATAAAACTGTAATTCCATATATTTAGTTTATATTTAGAAGACCTATGGAGTTGTATTCAACTCCAAAACCAAACTATAAAGAGGCAGCATCAAAACATCCTGGGAGACCGATGAATGCGGGAATTCCTGCGCAGATTTACACTGGAAGAGTGGAACAGATTGTCTTAACTCCTTCTTGCTCTCAGTGGTGACCTACTGTCAGCACAGTCCCACAGAAATCAGCAGGATTTCTGATAAGGAGCAGTAATGAACAGTCTGAGGGCACAGCACTCTCCTGCAGAGAGTGCAGAGTGCTGTAGAGTTGGATATTACTCTGATATTACTTTCAAGACATATTAGGAATTTCAGGAGGTTCATAAAGGGGCTGTTTGAGCCTCTTCAAAATTAAGGAGAGACTTTTCGAAGAAAAAAGTGCTTACATATTGATATCCTTATGTGAATGGTGCCTTATTTCCAGCCACTCTCACTCACAGTACAGACCAAGCATGTCTGTAGTTTAATTTGGAGGAAATGAGAAGAGTTGCTAACTCTGCTTTAATTTTCCTGTGCCAGTTTCGCACCAAAATTGTGCCCAAGTTTGGCTTTGGATCCTGGCATTTTCAAATTTGGATGGGAAATTTCAGTTCTGGTGTTCCTGCACTCTGTCAGTGAGGCACCAGCACTACCACATAGCCAGACACAAGAAATGATACTGAGTCCATTGCTGTGAACTGAAGAGCAGTGGATTCCAGTTCACTGGAGCACAGCCCTCTGACTGGGTCCTAGTCACTAGAGAGAGATGAAACATCAGTAAAGACAGGAGTTTCCTATTTTAAAAATACTATTTTAGGAATAAACCTCGCTTTTGTATCCTGTTGTAATATTTTTTCGATTTGATGTGGTTGCAGGATGACCCATTCTCTGCACTGGACATTCACTTAAGTGATCATTTAATGCAGGAGGGGATTTTGAAGTTTCTGCAAGAAGATAAGAGGACTCTTGTTCTGGTGACACATAAATTACAATATCTGCCACATGCTGACTGGGTAAGAGAAGAGGTACCAGGGAAAAATTTGCTAAGGATGATTGCCAGAAGCAGGCATCAGGATGTTATTGAGAAATTGAAAAATTCCCAGCAGAGTTGAAGTTTTATTCAGAGGCTTGCTACTACAAGCAGTCTTGGCAATTCCTGAAGTTAACCATAACATTTAATGGGATTATTGCTTTTCTCTGCAATAGAGTCCCTCCTTAGTTCCATGTGCCATATGGCTAACTGCCACTTTAACTAACACAGATTTTATAGTGGAATAACTATTTTATTTTTACATTATTTAAGTACAGGGTTTTTTTTGTTCATTAAAAAGCCTGGAGAATTTTGTTTTAATTGCAACTGTCTATCCCTTCTTTTCAATGCTTTTTACATGTTCAGGAAAGCATGACTTATACAAGTTTCAGTTTATAATCTGTGCCAGCAAATTTACAAATATATTAATAAAATATTGAATAAAATATTGAATGAAGACAGAAATTTGCATAATGATATTGTCACTAATGGTGAGACATATTTTGTAGGATCCAGGTCAGTGATTATGGTATCTCTGTTGTTGAGTGCTGGGTGCTTTCTCCCCTAGATCATAGCAATGAAGGATGGAATGGTGCTTAGAGAAGGGACCCTAAAGGATATCCAAAACAAGGACGTTGAGCTATATGAACACTGGAAAACTCTGATGAATCGCCAAGATCAAGAGTTGGAAAAGGTAAACAGAGCATTTAGGCAAGGATAACTTTTCTGCAAAGAAATATTTGTCATTCAATTTGAAAAAAACCCAAACCATGTCTGAAGCACGTTTTCAACTTGACTTTAGGGCAAAACCACATGATCTGTAAGGAGTTTTAGGGGCTGGAAGAGATTGTCCAGGAAGTGTGTGTTAAATCCATCATGGATGGTTTGTAAGCATATCTTAGCCAAGAAACCCTTGGAAATGTGGTGCACAACTGATCCTTTGGTGGGGCAAGGATTGGACCCAGAAACTTCCTATGGTATCTCTTATCCTTTTATTCTGTTATTGCCATGAACATTTAGGATTCTCTAAAGACTATTTTTGAAGTTTTTACCATTCCAGAAGAGAGGGAATGAAAGAATGGCAGAGAGAGGGAAAGAAGTGGGCAAAGCTGAATTCTCTGAAACTTAAATTGAAAAATACTGTTTTTCCATTCTGTAAGTTAAATGATCCATATAAAGTCTCTTTGAGATTACTGCAAGTACTACTATAATTGGTGCACAGCTAAGCTCTCAAATTAATAAATGATCTCTCAAATGAATAAAATCTATTATTAGTTAATAATAATAATAATGATAACCTAATTATTTCAGGATATGGAAGCTGACCAGACAACTCTTGAGAGAAAAACCCTTAGAAGGGCCATGTACCCCAGAGAATCCAAGTCACAACTGGAAGATGAAGATGAAGGTTTGTTTTACAATTTCATTTTATTTAATACTATTTTTCATTGCCTTTCCACTTTAATAGCTGGCAGTTCTTAGCAGCAAAGTGTAACTCTGTTGATGACACTTGGTAATAATAGTGGAAAGCCCAACATTTTGCAGGGCTTACAAATAGTGGAAAGCCCAATATTTTGCAGAGTTTACAACAGGACATGTTCAAGGGATTTTCCATATATTTCCCTAAACATCATGCAGAGATAAGGGTGTATCAAAACAAGTTAATATCTTTGCTAACTCACAGTGCCTGGAGTTATTGAGGGATGAGATAGAAGTACAACAACATAAAAAATTGTAAAGAAAAAAAAAATGAGGTAGCTGTCAAGAACATGTAAACATTTCCCTTCTTGGGGAAATTTCCCTCCTGCAGGGCTGTGAGATATATATTCTTATTATCTGGGATAAAAAAAAAAAAATTAAATTTCACATTTATACACCTCTATAATATATATTTTCCATAGCAGGAGTCTTGCACCATTTGTGTTTCAATAGCATGTGATCAATTATCAATTTAGTACTCTTGACTGAAGGGAAAATTGAACTTTTTCATACAAACAGATGATGAAGAGTCTGGGTGGAAAGGTTTGGAGGATTTTCTAAAATCTTCCAAATTTCTCTGCTGACTGTATAATAAAAGCTGATGAACAGGTTGGGAAAGACTCTAAATAATAAGTAGTGAAAATTTGGTTTATAGAAACTTTTTCATATCAAAACTGTGACAAGTCAAAGACTGGCAAACTATAGAACAGCTTAAAAAGCACAGGGGAAGTCTTATGAAAATATGTCTGAAGTGTTTGCTGTTCTTAAAAGACAAATTGAATTTTGAAGTTAAAATTTAAATTCAAAGCAGAAGGAAAAAAAGCCCAACAAATCCGGTAAAAAAAGGTATAGTTATTATTGAATCCATGCTAACTTGATCAAATGTCTGAGTCACAGAGGAGGAAGAGGAAGAAGATGAAGATGATAACATGTCAACTGTCTTGAGGCTCAGGACAAAGATGCCATGGAAAACCTGTTGGAGATATCTAACCTCTGGAGGATTTTTCTTGCTCTTTCTGATGATTTTCTCCAAGCTGTTGAAACACTCAGTTATTGTGGCCATAGATTACTGGCTTGCTACGTGGACATCCATGGACAATACAAACAAAGCCAGGAATGCTGATGAGGATAAGAGCACAGAGAAGGTGAGCCAGATACTGGAGCCTGACAGGGAAAAAAATGAAAGAAAACATGTTCTAAAGTAATTTTTTGCTGTTCATCTAGAAGCCAGCTGGATTGAAATGGCAGGTAGATTATTATACAGGATGAATGGATTCTTAATGTTAAAATAAAGCAATTCAAATTTTATCAATATTTTTGACCACTCAGAACTGAAACAGAAGAATATTTGAAGGTAGAAAAATAATTGACCTTTCCAAGTAAGGAGCCTTATACTAAACTTTTCCATCTGGATTTTACAATTGGTCTTCTAAGTAAATGACCCCACTTTCCTAAGTACTGACTGTCATGTAGTGCCCTGTCAGGAAAAAAAAAAATAAAATAAATCGGAAGTCTTCAATTGTTCTGCTTAAGTACAATGTGCTTATATCTGTAAATTTGACCCAAGTACAATATCTTATGGAATCCACTTACTAGACTTTCAGAAGGCTTAAATGTGCTATAACCCTGGCAGATCAGTTCAGGATTTGCTCTGTGAATTTCATAATGCTTGAACTTGCTAAAGTGGAACTTTCCAACATCTCTCAAATGCCTTAATTCTTAAGATGTTCTACTCGGTTTCCCTAAGTTTCTTGGCTAACAATCCTTTCTTTTTGTCCACATAATCAGTCTTCACAGTTCTAAGAGCTACATTTCAAGGTCTTGAGGGGTACAATAGAGTGAGGGATCTTAGACCTGCCAGAACTTCTAATTACGTGGACTTAATGAATTGCAGTTCCATCACTGCAGTTCCATCATATTTCTTGTATTTCCCAAAGATGATATATAATTATGTAATACAAGAGATATGATGTAGTAGCTGATGGGCACCAGGTACCTTGGGAACTTCCTAGCAGAAAAGAAAAATGGGTGTTTATTTTTAGCATTGATGTATTTGTCATTCCATTAGACTTATCATGTAGCTGTCTTCAGCATCCTCTCTGGAGCTGGGATTGTCCTTTGCCTCATCACATCCCTGACTGTGGAGTGGATGGGCCTCACAGCAGCCAAGAACCTACACCACAATCTCCTCAACAAGATCATCCTTGGACCAATCAGGTGCAGCAAAAATGATGTCCCTGAAAAGCTACAGGTCAAAACCTGTCCTCTTTGTAGCTGCAAGGGTACTCCCAGGAAAAGCTCTTGAATTTGACCTGTTTCCTTCATGCCCTCAAAAAGGGAAAATAATTAGTGAGCTAACCATGGGGGGAAAACATTCCATGAGAGAACATGTGAAATTTTGCCCCTGTTTTTTATCTGGCTGAAAGGTTTCAGAAAGCTGGCACCCCTTTCAGCGCTGGGGGCTCAAGGACAGCTCTGAGGGCAGTTCAGGCTCCAGGGCACCCAGCTCCATCTCTAAGCAGTGGCCATGGTGTCAAACCATGTGGGCACCAAAGCTTCTTCTGTGCACAATACCCAGGGTCTCACAGGCAGCAGAATGGCCAAAGGATGCCTGATTAGCAAATAAATTTATCACAGTGCTTCCATGAGACATCTGGGGTTGGTGCCCATTAGAAGGAGGCTGAGCAGCAGCCTGGAACAGGCTGTGATCTTTGGAAGGGATCTTAAATCCTGATGGAGCAAGAAGGTAAGATCAGGACATAAGACAGGAGGTTTTTGGAAGGGGAGGCAAAACTTTTTTTCATGGGTAAGTGCCAAAAGAAGCATTTAGACAGTCAGGAGGCAGATAAGGTGATCTGGTGTGTTATTCATATTAATTGCTTGGTTTTAGACAATCGCTGTACACAGCTCTGTGTTCTGTCTGACTGGACTTTAAATCCAAACCTGGAATTCCTCTGCACGTTACTTTTTGGTTTTAATTTGTCCAACAGATTCTTCGATATGACTCCGCTGGGGCTAATTCTGAATCGCTTCTCTGCTGATACAAATATCATTGATCAGGTAGATGTAGCAATATATTCTGTTCTATTGTCCTGACTCTGCAAATTTTCATGTAGATCCTGAATAAGTTGATGTAGTAAAATATTCAGTAGAGAAAGGCATAGCAAAACCAGGCTCTGAGAATGATAATAGGGACACTCAAAAAGTACATGTTCGTAGTAGTGAGGGCAAGTAACCTTTAAAATAAATATAGTGGGAGGTGGTGCCTCTTAATTTCTTCATATGCAGAGTGGTTGATTCTGTTGGAAGATCTGGATTAAGAAAACATCAGATTTTGGACTCAAAACAGGAAACACAGTAGAATATAACAACTTTGAATATATGGGAGTAGGTGTGACAGATAAATGTTCCACCATGGCTGGCAGAACTTATGAATTTAGAGCATTCAGGGAGAGGAAGAGCTTTCACTATGACTGTGCATTAAAATTTTTGGATGAACAATAATCCTGAATGTAAGGTTGATGGGAATATGGAATAAAAAATTATGAGACTCTGAGACAGAGCATTCTACTTCTCTAAATATCTGGCATATCAAGAACAATTTTCTCTTCCTTGCCTGATATATAAATGAGGTGGAAATGACTCCTATTTCCTCATGATTTTTGAAACTCTGACCTTTAGAAAACAAAAACCTACTGACTCATTTTTTAACTCCTGTACATTTTGCTATGAGACCCACAGAAACAGAAAGACTCCTGATATTAGGATAATATAAATGAGTGGTATTATTTCACTTTTCTTATAGGAAAAGGTGTATAGTGGTGCTACCAGGGATTTTTCCTCATGGATATTTTTCATTTCCCTCTAGCACATCCCTCCCACACTGGAGTCTCTGACCAGATCCACCTTGCTGTGCCTGTCAGCCATTGGGATGATCTCCTATGCCACTCCATGGTTCCTTGTGGCTCTTGTGCCCCTGGGCATAGCATTTTATTTCATCCAGAAATACTTCAGGGTTGCTTCCAAGTACGTATTAAAGAACCGTCTTGAAAGTTTCCTCCATGAAATATTGAACATAAGAACTGTGGTGGAATGTGAGATTGTAGGAGCTAAAAAAGGGGGAAATGGCCATGGCATCCTGCTTTTGATCCTGAGGCATGAGTTTGAGACATGCACTGGGGAATATTTCCAACTGACCTGGCTATAAATGGCGTATTTGGGGAAGTAACACCAACTGAATGCATTTTTTTGGCTCTAGAGTGAGATGAATGTGAAGTTTGTTAATCATCTGAGCTTGTATCTGGTCAAAACTCCTCTTTGACATGTGAGCATTAGTAGAGAATAGAAAATAATTCCCTGGATTAACATCAATCATGGCTTTTCCTTCATATTGGGGAAAAAAGCTCCACAGGAAGTAATTTCCACTGTAAAGTGTTCCATATTCAGGGCAGTTTGGCTGGGTGTAAAGAGTGCATTTTTTTCAGCAAAATGAGAGTCATGCTTCTGGTGCTAAATTTATTGTATAATTTCATAAAACATCTAAAGGAAGCCATTTAAAGTTTTTTTCTTAAATTCAATCCCTTAGTCTTCTGTTACCAGCCAGAATCTTCCAAGATTTATTTAGAAGAAAACTCTGTAATCAGAATTCATAAATTCAGAAATGTTTAAATCTGAAATAAGTTGCTTAACTTCTCTGAGATTTTTCAGAAACCTTGTTCTTGCCCACCATACCTCCAAAATGAAGCTCTGTGTGGCAGTACACCAGATCTCAAGGTGGCTGACAAATCAGGAGACCTGGTTTTCACTCTCAAATTATTCTGTTAAATTAAACTCTTTTAAATCACTTGAGATGTGACTTGTGTTCTTTTGATGGACAATAGAAATGAAAACATCCAATTTATTTCCCTAAAAATTAGTTTTGGGAAATTTAGGATGAAGTAATAGCTTCAGCCAGTATTTGTAACTCACTTGCATGCAGTCCTTTGCAGGCGTATAAGCCTCACTAATTTTTAGAAATGCAAATATTTACAGTATTTCTTGCAGCACTTTGACTCTTTGTTGTATTTTCCATTACATCTTTCAAAAACTTCTGTGTATTTTCCATCATAAATTTGAAAGATATTTATCATCAAAACATCAGCAGCAAATTCAGTTCTACATGCTGCAACATGCAGCAACATCAAGCAGTTGTTTCTCCTAGCCTATCTAATAGAGTGTGCAAAATTTGTAGGATTTTGATAACAAGTTTTAATCTCTAATGAGCTGGACTTTATTCTGTTTGTACAACTGGCTGCTATGCCAATGGCAGAGTGTTACAGAAAGATGTAAATTTTTTTCTGTGGTTTGGAAAATGTTCCTCTTTTAAAAGACTGGAAATTTTTCGACTTAAATATTGTTGCTCCGTGCAGGTCTTGGAAGTGCCATTGCTGAGTAATTAGGGAAATTTATCACTCATATTATTTCTGTGTCAGTGCTGTCTTTGCTACAACCAATGTTAACAGCACAAAGAGAAGATCTGCTATCATCTGAAATATTTTACTTTCAGCATGTTGTGGTACTTCCAGATATGGAAAATGAGGCCAGGTTTATGTGCAAATACAGCTTTTTTTGTTAGGCCAGCTGTTGTCATAAAATATATAAGCTTCCTGATACACAGACCCTATTATATACCTGACCTAAGAGTCACAAATAACATGCTATGAAGTTTAAGGTCAGTGGTTTTGAATTTAATTTAGTTTTATTAACATAGCAGAATCTGTGAGAATAAAACATAATGAGGATCTGTCTAAAATGGATAGCAGGTTTTTATCCAGCAGAGACATGATAATGTCATTATCCCTGGGGGGAAAATAGAAGCTTAAAGTGACCAAACATAGATGGAGAGGACAGCAGGGAGATGATTCAAAGGCTCCTGTGGCTAAAAAAGGAATGTTATATTCCCATGCCAGTGTCTTGCTGTACTATAGAAATTTTGTGTGATCCTGAAAAGAATATGTGCAATACACAAGATGTCTGTTCTTGTCATCTGTGCAGCAAAATTTCTGCCAGAAACAGAAATCTTTGCATTGTAATGGGCATCTGTTATTTTTTGTACTCCCAGGGACCTCCAGGAACTTGATGACAGCACCCAGCTCCCTCTGCTGTGTCACTTCTCTGAGACAGCTGAAGGCCTTACCACCATCAGAGCATTCGGGTAAAATTTGGAAAACAAATTATTAGAGGGAGGCTTGAGGGTCAGGCTGGCCTGTTCAGCTTCCTTGGAGAATGTCTGAGAGCAAACTGTTGAATTTGAAGAACTTTATCAAGCTATTTAGGAAAAAAATACTGGATTTTTTTTCCTGTTGCTATGCCTCTTAAACATTTTGCGTATTTTCAGCAACACATGTATTGGTGTTCCACAGAATTAAAGATGATTACATTTTTAGGATATGATATTTAAACTTTTAATGAGTCTATTTTAACTATACCTTTAACTCGGACAGCAGGGAGCTCTATTTTGTCAAGCAGACAGAGGCATTGCCCCTTCAAACCCCCTGAAATATCCCAGTGTCCCTGAATCAGTTCTGTGTTTAGCCCACTACCCAAGCAAGGAGACATCATTATGGCACTCTCCAACTGAAAGGCAGCGTGCAACTTGAGAGTTTCCAAGAAAACTGCAGCAGAACAGAATTTTATTTTAATATTGTAAAACCTCCCTTTGTTAATCAAAACTGAAAAATCAATTCTGTAAGATCCAGAGAGTTTTGCAAGCTTTCCATGCATACATGTTCTCTCTACTACCTGAAATATAAGCCAGACTCTCCTATCTTCACTCCATTATGGTGATGACTCTGTCAAAGTGCCAGCTTGAGGTTTTTTCCCCAGTAAGTGCACCTTTCACCCATTCTGCACTGTGCAGAATTCCAAACCAGAGCAGATTCCACTGCAATGACATTTCTACACCTATTTGATCAGCTTAAGGCTGTTTCTTCACATCAAGCTAAGCTTTAGGACCTCAGCTATTAGCACAGAGCGTTGTAGTAAGGCCTGTGGAAGTACAAGCAAAAATACTGTTGTGTGGTAGAGGTGTGACCCAGTGGTCAACAGGAAATGCTTTAACTAGCTTTATCAACAGAATGATGTATTGAAACAGGAAGTCATCATTAGGGCCTGATGCTGATGTATGCTGAGTACTCCTCAAGAGGTTCAGAGTGGCCTTTCATCACCTGAGGAAGATTAGGAACCTGACATTATCTCCTGAGGAACATGAAGGAGCTTAGCACTTTCTGAGTGGTTCAAATCTTTTTTGCACCACAAAAAAGTAATGTGGGATTGGATGGCAGAGAGCAAAAGGCAACCGAGGGTACCACAACAATTGAGTTTTTCAGGATTTCTGGTGCTAATCGAAGCCATTTCATTTCCCTGCCTGTGCTCCACAGCCCACCAAACCTGAAGTCTCCTGCATTTATTGTCTGCAAGTTTCTATTTACTGCTGGTCCTGTTAGTCATTCTCTGCAGTTTGGGTTCAGTATGTTCCAGGATAAAACTGAGCAGCTCCTCACATAACTTACCAGAAAGCAGTACAGTTGGATCAGAGAGCAATCTCAGTGACCTTTGCTGCTCGTCATCTGACAGGATAAAGTCTGAAAGTGCCCAGAAGATGAGCTGAATGTGGATGAAAACACAGACTGAGCATGTCAGATTTTCCATTAGGAGAGCAGGAGTTTTGCTGCCAGGAAAGCAGATGAGCAGAGTAGTCAGTGCAGCCTTGTTCCTCCCCACATCATTACTGTTGCCAGTTGTTCTGGGGAGGCTGCTTGTCATGTTTACAAGCTGTGCAGAGGGAAATAAAATATCTGCAGGAAATAGCAGGGAAAAAAGGAAGTTTCTGGAAGAACAGGCATTAGAGGTGCTTCACAGCAGGGCCCTGAGAATTTGAAATGGAAGATAAAACAGACACTGAGCTGCTGACTGAAGTTCAGCTGGTTTAATCAAGTGAGGGTATTCACCAGACAATAGAATATGGTTTACAACAAAATGGTTTCCTGCTGACTGTGCAAGGCACCATGAATTTAATACACTAGCACCAATAGAGATTTCCCCTTGCCCTCCCAAATGTACCTTGGCTCTTCAGCACTATGCCATCCTTGCACTGTTTTTTAAATGTGATGGGCATTGTGTGGGGGAGAGAGGAACAATGGCAGTGGAGGTAACACCACTCATTTTTTTAATTTAGAGGTGATCTATAGCTCTCCCTGACTGGACTTTCCCAGTTGTTTAGGCAAAGTGTGACTGGCTGAGAAAACAGCTAGGCTGAGTAGCTGAAACGTTTGATTTACAGATTGCTCTACATCCATATTAGTTGAAACTTTAGGGATGTCACCCCTGTTGAAGAGCCCTGCAGCTGGCCAGGTAACTTCTGAAATCAGATTTAAGCTGACAGGTGAGCCCTCTGTCCTTGCTAGTGGCCTGTGAGGAGGAGCTGAGAGACCACAGCAGCACTCATCTGTGGGAGGAGTGGGCTACAATCCACAGCTATAAAAAGTGGATCAGCTCTGGGAAACAAAACCCATCCCAGCACCCTGGCATTGCAGTCTCTTTGAGGGGACACTCTCTGATCCAAACCCTAGTCCAACAGAATTACTTGTCAAACAAACCCCGACTCCACGTGTCACTCTGGCTATGGGGAGCTGTGGCAGCAGATGTGCGTTCTTAGGGAAGAGCTTTTAACCCAAACTTTGGCAAAATCAGAAGGGCAAAAAATTTTGGGCTGGGGGGACGGAAGGCAGAGCAGAGTTAATGCCTCACCCTTTTGTGTGTGAGTGTGTAATATGTTGTAACATAACAACTTTGGTCTCGGCAGGCACGAAGCCAGATTTAAACAACGTATGCTGGAGCTGACGGACACGAACAACATTGCCTACTTATTTCTGTCAGCTGCCAACAGATGGCTGGAGGTCAGGACGGTACGTTCAGTTTTGTCCCAGGCATGGTTTTGAAACCTTGGAAGCAAACAGAGACTTTGCCTGATGCAGAGAAGATAATAATGAGTATTAATCTCGTGAGGAGATTATACACACAGTTCCTTAAAATAGATCAGGATTGTTATGTCAAACCCAGAGGGTTTTTTCAGCTTTCTTGGCCAGAAGTAAGAAAATACAAGACTGCCTCATCTTCTGCTGCTGTGCTGTCTAGCGTCTGAAGGGAGTGCAAGAACAAACATTTACATAACTTGAAACAAGACTTTCTCTACTACTGTGCAGCATCCACAGACCTGCTACTACAGGAACTGCTTTCAAGGCAGAATGTGGCTTTTCAGTGACTTTATGAACTGTGCCATCCTTCTGTCAGGGCTGTTTTAGGCACACTGATCTCCCAGGTCTTGAAGTATCTCTCCAGCAGCAGGGTTAATCCCACAGCTGTAAGCTAAACCCTTGCAGGGCCATACTGTTTGTGGTTTTATTGTTTGATATCATGAAAGATAGAAGAACTAGAATCCAGAAAGAAAAGTACACCAGGGCACAATGCAGCCACTGATGGTGACACAGGCTCCTAGGTTTTGTGGGGGCTCTCTGTGAGGGACTTTCCTGATCTGTGAGGCAAGAAGGGGCAAGCAAAGTAACTGTGATTCCCTTATTCATCTGAAACAGAAAGAGCAGTGGCCTGATTCTGCTGGACATAAATAGCAACAGGCATGGCTAATCCTCACATCAAAGGATGAAGGTGTATACTCACCTCCTTTTCCTGTTGGAGCAATGAAGTTATTCTCCATTTTTTATGATGGCAAAGCTTTCCCTTGTGCTTGAAGCTGTCAGCTGCTTACAGCATCCAAGATCAGCTGAAATTGCTTCCAGATCTAAGACAGATAAATAACAGAGCAACAGGCAATCCTGGAATAAGCCTGTTAATGGCTCACAGTCTTAGACTTGCTTAAATGCAGAATGAATTTGGTCGAAGAATACACTTTGCCTCATCAGAGCATTAGAAATAATGTGGTCTTGCCAAGGAATAGTTCATCCAGCTCTGCCTAATGGCACAGTGGACTAAGACCACCAAAACTTTGTGGGATTTAATAGCAGCTGTTAAGTCCTATCCTAGCAGATGATGGAGACTCAAGACCATTATGCTCCATAGGTGTGAGTCACAGAATCCCAGAATGATTTGGGTTGGGAGGAACCTTAAAGCCCATCCAGTTCCAACCCCTGCCATGGCAGGGACACCTTCCACTAGCCCAGGTTTCTCAGATCCCCATCCAGCCTGGCCTTCCAGAAATGAGGCAGCCACAGCTTCTCTGGTCAACCTGTGCCAGGGCCTCACCACCCTCACAGGGAAGAATTTCTTCCTCATAGCCAATCTAACTCCTCCCTCTGTCAGTTTGAATCCATTCTCCCCTAAAATTTGAGTCTGTATTCTGCTGATCATTTTTTAGATAGATGAACAAGGCAGTCCTCATTTCAAATCTCAGAAGGAAAGATTCCTGACATGGTATTATCAGACAGGAGGAGAAAAATGAATGGAAAATGTGATCCAAAGTAAATGAATGCAGGCAGCAGTGGGAGAGTGGGAATACCAACTATATCTCATTAAACAGCACTTTGACTCCACGAGATGACATGTGGCATATACTTCAGACCTGAGGTAAACATCAAGAAAATGGGTTCCAGCTCCTGCAAAGCTTCTGCCAATAAAACATGGGCATGACCTCTAGCAAAAAGCCTTCCTGGACTTTGTGAAGTCAGTGATGCTTCCTTTTTTGAGGCGGCAGACCCATGGTTTAGAAGACCTGAAGGAGAGTGGAGAGAGTGGAATTGATTTGTTTTAGTGGTGGGAATTAGGGGTGTCACTGTTATATCCTTCTCATGATCTTTTAAAAATATTCTTATTAGATTTTTTGATCCCTGCTCCTTTTGATGTTGACACCATGGGATGCCCTAGCCCAAATGAATTTGCAGCAATTACTGGCCTATTTCATTAGTGTTCAGCAAGTTGCTTTGAGTATTTCAGTTTGGGCATCACAACCATGACCTCTTCCAGGGAAAAAAAAACCAAACCAAAATTAAGGGCTAGGTGTCATTATATAAATAATTCTTGGTAAAGCGGAACTGCTCTACAGGTAAAGAAATGATCTGGTTGCTGCATTTTTTCTTTTTTGTCCCGCTGTCTCTCCTTCCAGGATTATCTGGGTGCTTGTATTGTCCTGACTGCTGCTGTCACTTCCATCACTGAAGGGCCACACTCGGGGTTCGTGGGCCTGGGTCTCCTGTATGCCCTGACGGTATGTGCCAAAGCCAAGTAAGAACTTCCAGACCAACACGTTTATAAAATTTATGTGTACACTGTCATCTCCTGGCTTTCTTAATCTTGAAAAAAAAGAAACCTGCAAATAATGGACTCGAGCCAAAGTTGAGAGAGTTCAGGGCAACTTGGACTTGCTTCAGGTTTTATGAGCCAATTAAAAAAACATAACCATTCCCAGGCCCTGTGTGCTCCCAAGTGGAGCAGGAAAATTAAAAATGCGTAAGAGGACCTGCTGTGCACTGTTTTGTACAACACAGTGCTGTTTCCACCTCTACATGGCAAAACCTGCCAGGAAATACAGATTGCCATCATCTGGGTAATCTTTAACCAAAGACAAAATAAAATAATTTCTGAAGAAACAGAATTACCGGTTTTGTCCTTGGAGGGAAATTACCGAGATGTCCAAGATTGTCCATGCAATTATGAATGGATTTGGGGATTGGGACATTTGTGGGCATGGTTCATCATGCCAGGTAGCAGTAGGAATGCAGAGGAGATGGACTTAGGTACAACTCTCAGCTGCCTTCAAAAGTTCATCAGAGTTTTTGTGGGCAGGAGAGAGACAGGTGATCACTTGGTGCCTGTCTAGCCTGACATAGGTTTTTTTAAAATAATTACTCTTTGCAGCTGAGAAAGGGCTGATATTTGGACCTAGATGAGAGCAAACTGTTTGTACTGAGGTTGTGTTTACAGTGGACATCCTGAATTTATTCTCCATTTTATAAACACTGCCAACTCCTTTGCATAACTGATGAAACTCTGAGGCAGAGTTTTTGGGTATGAGGCTGTGTTATCAAAGCTGCCAGATCGAGGATAGCAGCCTGCCACTGCAAGCAGCAGTTCTGCAGTGTTTTGCCTGTCTGCAAACTTTTTAATTTCTGTAACTTCCTAACTTAAAAGCTGGACACCAAATAAGCAAGTATCTGAACATAAAGGAGAGAATACCCCATCAAGAACTCTATTTTAAGAATAAAGCAAGCAGCCAAGTCCTCTAAATTAACCACAATTTTTACTGAATCTCATTGAAAATTATTTACTGTTTGCTTACTGCATCAGTATTAAGTTAGTGGTAAAGACGTGAGACTAGGTGATTTGTTCTTAATAAAGTCCATATTTGGCACTCACCAGAAAAAAATGGCAAAGCCTTTCTCTGAATACATTTGTGAATAGGGTGTGTTTATTTTTAAGTTTCTAAAACTTCATTCAGGTACATAAAATATCCCAAGTTTTAAAGGTTCTTGGCAGTCAACTCTTCCTAATAAGATTAGTTCTTTTTTACAGAAGCATCCAAATACAGACTTAGGAAACAGATTTACAATTTTCAGCCTTAAACAGTAAGTCCTACCTAGAAAAGAGTTTTTCTAAGCCACTGAGTATTGTTAGAGAACTAATAATCAACTATTATCTACTAAAAGTAATACCTTTTCTATTGATTTAACTATTGATCAAATCCTTTTCATTACAAATGAGAATAAAAACCAGGAAGGAAATATTGCTGAACTGATAACACTTTTTTCCTTCATATATTTCTATGCTAAAAACTTCTCATATTTTCCAACAAGAGAAATGGATTTTCTAAATATGTAGAAATGAAATTATCATAAAGTATTTTCAATATATTTGCAAATTGTGAACTTTCTTAATCTTTAGTTGCAGTTTTTGAATGATTAGAATATACAAAATAGAAAATATTTCCAAACAGCACTTTCAATTTTGATTCTTTTCTGTGTTTGTGTGCTTAAAGAAGACACCTTTCAGTGCTTATTATTAGATGTTGAAAACAAGAGATTCCCTCAATCAGTCAGAGTTTAGGTACAACTTTTCCACACTTCAAAAAACAAGGATGAGAATACCAAGCACCAAATGGCTGTCTTAGGGCTAAGTGTGTTAGAGTATGACTGGCTTCTTATGGATTTGATGCTGTTGCACTGTCTTGAAATGCTGTAATGTTAAAGAGACCCACTGTGTTGAGTCAGGCCATTTTCGCAAATGTATCCAACCTTTATTTCCAGATGGGTAGATGAACAGAGAGAAGGCTGAACCCTGTCCTTGTTTTCATTTTGTGATGCAGATAACCAACTACCTGAACTGGGTAGTGAGGAATCTGGCTGATCTGGAAGTGCAGATGGGTGCAGTAAAAAAAGTACACAGCTTCCTGAACATGGAGTCAGAGAACTACGAAGGCTACCTGGGTATTGCTCTTAATCTTTTTGGGGCTTTATATGGTCATGTGAAAGAATGGTAGACTTGGTTGTGCAAAATGTACACACCTCTCTGGTCAAAATCTGTTCCCGCTGAGGTGTAGGAACTGCCCCTGGTGTGAGTGACAAGGATAGCTAACAGAAGCTATGAAAATATGTTGTTCATGCTAGTCAACATGAAAAAAAATCCTATCAAATGCCAGGGAGACAGAGCAGGACTCTAGTACAATCAAAATGACCACAGTTATAGATGAGATGAGCAAAACATCCATGTAAGTTATTTAGAAAACAAAAATAAGGATAAAAATTAGAAATGTCACATGTTTCAAAATCTCTGATCTTCTAGCAGATGGGGACTAAAGATAGGGCCACAGAAGATTGGCAAGCAGACCTCAGCAACTCTTCTCTGAGCTACACATTGGAATTTGTGCTCCATAAACTTCAAATTGGCCTTGATTGCTATTTCACAAGTGGTTGATGTGCAAGAAATGGCTCATAGGTCAAGAAGCTTCCCTGGAAAGCCAAGCTCCTTAGTCCAGAGACAAAACCTGCTGTGTATTCACAAATCAGGATGAAACAAGAGCTGTGATAATGTCAACAGCTCACGCTGTGTGGCAGTAACAACTTCCTTCCTCAAGCTGCCCTTCCTGTGCCGGTCACTGACCCAAGGCCACACTAACGCTGCCCTGACACTGCGTTCTCTGATCCTTTGGCTTCTCCCTCTTGCAGTGCCAAGAGACACTTTAGTATCTACCCTCTCTCCCTACGTGTGGAGATCTGGAAGCCAAGTGCCTGCCAGGCAGTTCCCACCTCAACCTCCCCTTGGCAGGGAACTGGAGCTCTGTATCTCCAGTGACTTAAAGGAAAGCGCCCAGGCAGGAGAGGGGGGAAAGGGTGACTGTTTTAAAGGGTGACCCTTTGGCAGCACTCTGTTTTTTTGTAACTATTTCAGATCCCTCTCAAGTCCCCAAAGACTGGCCCCAGGAGGGGGAAATCAAGATTGAAAATTTGTGTGTTCGCTATGAAAACAACCTGAAGCCTGTTCTGAAGCATGTGAAAGCCTATATCAAGCCAGGACAAAAGGTACCATGTCCAGCAATTTCCCATCATCCTAATTGTGGTGCAGATTCTTCATTACAGAGCCTTCCTTTCTAAAGTGCCAGAAGAACAAGATTAACAACTTGCACTGGCAGATACATACACTAACAGTCCTCTCTGAGGTCCCTGGGCACAGATCAAGAACTTACACTGATAAAAGCTTATTCTTGGCTGGGAGCAATTTTTCTTCTGACTATCCCATGTCTTTCCAAGTCCATTTTCCTTGCATAAAAGTAAGTCTAAATGGCAGATATATTAGAAGGACATCAGACTGAACTGTGTAAAAACACAAGAGTATCTCACATTTCAGCATACAGTGTCATTGGCATCCATGTCAAAATGCTGAAATGCTCACGGGACAAGTCCTTGTGACGAGGGGCAGAAGAGGGGAATGTGCTCTCTGTGCTGTTTTGTGTTTTCCCTGGTGTGCCACCTGCCATTGTGAAGGACCTTTTTACTCACCAGTAGCACAATCTAGTGCAGCTTTCCCAAAAGAACTGCAGGTGTAAGTAAGGAGTAAGTGAGTAAATACTCTGTGAGTAAGTGACATCCTCCATTTTTTGCAGGTTGGGATCTGTGGTCGCACTGGTAGCGGCAAGTCCTCCCTGTCCTTGGCATTCTTCAGAATGGTGGACATTTTTGATGGTCAGTTTTCCCTGGAATATGTTGTCACTCCTCAACTGCTCCCCCCCTTATTTCCTCAGAAGAACCAAGGAGCATTTTTGATAGTTTATAACCTGGTTCTCTCTGGCTCAGAAGATATTTGATTAGAAGTATTATGCCTAATCCCTCAAAGTACAAAGTGCCCTATTGTGAATAGTACTTGGTTCTCCAGGAAATGTTGTGCACAGATTATATTTATAATTAAAAAAAAAAAGAAAATGCATATGGTCTGATAAAACAAGATGCAATTTTTGAGACAGGACAAAAAAAATATGTAACTCTCTGGAGTGTCTAAGTGTTTGCCTAAAGAATAACTGCATTAACTTATAGCTGTCAAAATATTGGCAGAATAGAAACTAGAACTCAACAAGTCCATTCCCTTGATTTTTTTTTTAAATGTTTTGTGCTTTCGCACATCTGCAGCAGAATCTGACTCAAGGATTGGAAATATATTGCCATGTTTTCACTCCTGCAGCATTTACCTCTCCCAGCTAATTGGCATGGACTGCTTTTCAGCATTTATAATACAGATACATATGTGCTGTTGAGGGAATATAGAAAACCACTAGAAAGGCATCTTGTTGTTTCAAAGATTTCCATGTTTCTAATTTAGCCATTGTGCATGGAATGTTTGCCAGGGAAAGCCCAGTAGGATGTGGGAGGATAAGTGAATCTGATGCAGCTAATACTTGCTTTTGTTGTGGTTCTGTGCCTATACCTGTCTATGGTCACAGGCTTCTGATTCATGACCATGATTCCTGGATATATAAATATTGCAAAGAAATAATAACCATGCTTATGGCCAGCTTGAAGTTTCCTTCTACTTAAGTCTTCTTTCTGTATATTTTCTTTGTCTGCTTCTCCTGTATCCCTGATTTTTCCCAGTGGGAATATCTAAGCCTTTTCTAATCAAGCTCTGTTTATCCTTTGTGCACATCCCTGTCCCAGCTGGACCCAAATTTGGCCTCCATGCTGGTCCACTTCTGGGTGGGGTCCTCACTCTAATGAAAGTTACATAATAAGATTTTGAGTAACTTTACTAGAGCCAAAATTTCCTTCCTGCTGTTCCTTAGATCTTCACTATCTCCCTAAATTTTTATCTGTCCTATTTTATTTTCCTACTTCTGCTTTGTTCTTTAGTGTTTCCCTTCTCTTGCCCGATGTTCAAACAACTTCTCATTTCTCTTGTGTCTTGCTTGACCAGCCCTCAACCCTTTCCCAGTTTCCCAACTCCTCTCAAATTTACTTTTTCCCTTAGGTCCTCTCATCTGCTCTTTTCCTTGAGCACCCTGGCTTCTACCAAATATGCATTTCCCTATTCCCCAAGCATGCCATATTAATTTTTCCCTCCTTACTCTACCTCATCTTCTGCTAACCCACTCTAATGTCCTCGTTTGTGAAGAAAAGGAATTGCTTAAGTTTATTCAACCACCGATGTCTCAAGCAGAAGTCCTATAACCTGATGTGGATTTTCCTGAAGAGTGAAAATAATTGGACTTTGCACCTTACAGATAAAAACTTGATTCTTCTAGCCATATAGTAAAAGCATAAAACTACAATAACAGAAGTAGTCCAGCTAGGGGGTCAATGAAATCTTCCACTGAAAAAGGGTCACAGGGAACAACCTACAAAATGCAGTATCATGACAATGGGAATGACAGAAGGGACACATATACAAAGCTCTGACTATCCATATGCTTGCCAGTTCACGGTTAAGTTCTCACTGTTGGGAGAGAGAGCTGATGAAATGAATGTTAGATACATCCCAGCAAGGAGTGCAGCTGCCTAGTGAAGCAATCCACAAGAAAACTGCAGAAGTGCCTGATGGAAATAGCCCTTACCATATCCTCATTCAGTTTGCCTTGGCCCATCCCTTTCCTGTCACCTCCAACCCCCAGTATACATACATGTATTATGCAAAAGAAATTATGCTCCTTCTCAAAGGAAATATCTTCAGCAACTGTTGAATTCAAGGGGAACAAAGAAAGGCACAGCAACAAAAGTTGCTCTTGTTCTTGCCCTGTTTGGCTGTAATTGACCCATAATAAATTATCCTTCTGGTGCTATCATTAGTCACACAGAAAGGAAGACATGTAATTTCCTTTTAGGGAGGGCGGAGGGAAGAAAAAGGAAAAGAACAAGGTAGCAGTGTCACTAACAAACTGGGACATCCCTGGCTTGTGTAATTAGATACATTCACCTTCCCCGTGTGTATGACAGTGCTGAGAGCTCGCAGAGACAGCGTCCCATCATCTAGAGACCAGCCCCCAGGGGCTGTTCCACCTTTCCACCTGCTACCTGTGGATCACATGCTTTGTGCAATTCCCTCACGTGTCCTTTGTGTTGTTTGACACAGGGAGGATAGTGATTGATGGGATAGACATCAGCAAATTGCCTCTGCACACGCTCCGGTCCCGGCTCTCCATCATTCTCCAGGACCCAATCCTGTTCAGTGGCTCCATCCGGTAGGTGTATGCCATCAGGGTGTGGCAGCCAGCATTGCACAGCCTGCCTGTCATGAGAGCTGCGGGACAGGCGAGGAACCTTCCTAGATCAGTCCAATCCATCTGCACAGCCTGCTGAGCGACACACAATGCCAAGGTGTTAATTTGAAGAAACCTGAAAGTAATTGCAGTAACAAGACTCCTGTTATGGTTTTCTTTGCAGCTTTAATTTGGATCCCGAATGCAAGTGCACTGATGACAGACTCTGGGAAGCTCTGGAGATTGCTCAGTTGAAGAACATGGTCAAGTCATTGCCCGGAGGCCTTGGTATGTCTGAATCAATCTCTGGGATCATGGAATAATAATGGAATCATGCATGCACACAGATAAACAGATCCATCCCATCTGACACTCTGGATCATCATGTCAGAGTGACAGGCACATAACCAAGATCCTCTCTTCATATGAGAGAGAATATTTGTATTAAAAGCTGAAGAATAGTCTGGTTTCCCATGCAGTGTGGAAAAATCCTGCAATACCTCAGCAGCATGGTGTGATTCTTGAGGCTGTCCTGTGCAGGTCCAGGAGTAGGATTTTGGTGATCCTGTGGGCTCCTTCCAACTCAGGATATTCTATGATTCTATGATCACTGTGCGATAATTAGTAAGGAGAAAAAAGAACAATTTTACCTCCTTTAGCAGAACCTGGCTCTGAAAGCAGAGCTGTAAACACTGACAGAGCATTTTTCTTACCATTTCAGATTGTTTCATGAAGGAAAATCACATATTTATTTCCATATCAAGTATATTTCATATTATTAAGATATTACCTTGCAGCCTACCAGATTTTCTAACAATTTGTGCCAACTGTTTGCTTAGTGATATACTTCTCCTTTCCCAAGAGGCTGTGCTCATTTTTCTTGGTATCCCTCCATCCCACTGGTCAGTCAAGGTTATGGTTATTGGCCTTTATGGGGATTTTGCTTGGCCCTGGAATAGTGCACAAGCAGAACTCTCAGGGGCAGCATTTCAGGGGTGCAATGTTCACAGGAACTGGTTTTGTTACAGATGCCATGGTCACAGAAGGAGGGGAAAACTTCAGTGTGGGGCAAAGGCAGCTCTTCTGTCTGGCCCGAGCCTTTGTCCGCAAGAGCAGCATCCTCATCATGGATGAAGCCACAGCATCTATTGACATGGCCACAGTGAGTACAGCAATTAGCTAATTAAGGATCTACCAGGAGAAAGGCATCTTCCCTAAGTGTCAGCCATGAAGTGTGAGATTCCTGTAGCAGAAAAAGCTGGCAGTGTTTTTGTTTCTCTCAGGAAGAAATGAAACACTTTAGAGAACCCCTACTTTCGCAGGTGTGACACTTCCCTGCTGGGAAAGATATAGTGTGGAATATGCTTGAAAACATGTGAATTAGAATGTAACAGGATGAAGTAACTTGAGCGAGCCTTTTCCTCTGACAGGAAAACATCTTGCAGAAGGTTGTGATGACGGCCTTTGCTGACCGCACAGTTGTAACAATAGCGGTAAGTATTAAGCCAGAAAAAGCTCTTTTCTCCTCATTCCTCGGGCAGTTAACCTTGCCCCCCACCAGTCAAACACCACTACATAAAACTAAAAGCATCACAAAATAGAACTAAACCATAAGGCCAGAATATTCCCATGATACCAGAACAAGTCAGACACCTACTATTTCATGCTGAAATTTTGCAGTAAATTCTGTTTTGCTATCAAACTAAAACACTTGGATCTCAGAAAAGACTTTACAGGGAACGTCAGCATCTGCACTGTCTCCAACAAATTTTTAAGTAATTCTCACTAAAAAATTGAAAATAAATGCATAGTTTGAACCATTACTAAAAGTTGCATTAAAATCTAGGTTTGAATTTTGCCTCTGAAGGCTATGTATGTGTAGTACCTACAAACATGGCACAAATGTATGAGTTGAGATTTCATAATATTCTTGGTGTGGTTTCTCAAGCTGGGTTATCTTTTCTCTCTTTTGGAGTAAAAAGCTGGGTTTACAATAAAGGTTTTAAAAACTGGAATTGATGCCTGAAGAGGCTACCAGAGGCTAGACAGTGTTAAAGAATAAGATAGATATTTTTTAAAAAGGCCTTCAAAGGATACACCTTGAGCAGTACAAGAGCCTGGCCATGGCTCCACCCAAGATGGACTCCAGGTCCCGAGTTTTCACGCTTTTATAAGTTTTGGTCCATTTAGATATTGGGGTTAATTGTCCAATTACAGCTTCAGGTAATCCCATCCTCCCACATCGCTCTTCTCAATTCGCTGTTGTTTGTACTTTTTGGGCCTGAAGCTACAACAGTGTCCTTGCTTCTCAGGCTGGAAAAGGATTATTTTGTCTAATTCAACTGTGAAGAGAACTTGCTAACACTTTATATGAAGTTCAGAGTTACACACTAAAGCAGTACAGAATCTGGAATATATGAAAGCTAAAACTTAAGGCATCAGAATCAATGGGAATTACCCCCCAAAATAATATATTTTCAGCTAGGGGTTTATGATGTTCTTTCCCATTTTCCTGCCACTTCTAGTGCCTAAAAGTTCCATATATCCATGCATGTTCATACATAAGTGTGCATAGACATATGGTGGATACCATTAAGAATATTTCCACCTGTGACAGCAGCATTAGTCAACAAACAGATAAATACATGTTTCAACAGCTGTTTCATTTGCCTTGTCTGGAATCCCCAGTCCTGAGGTTAGAGATTACAGTCAGGCCTCCTGGACTCTGGTTTTAAGCCTGTCATTGAGTAGTTTGTGTCAGGCAAGCCACTTAACCCAGCTCATTTACTATGTGCTCCAAGGATCTTGGGTGTGTAAATGCTGAAGATTCTGGTGGTGAGATTGTTGTCCTTCAGTTCCATGCTTATTGTCTTTCTGGCTGGAATCTCACTTTTCTTTGGCTTTGCCTTTCCAAAGTCAGTGTCTCAAGTGTAACAGCATACATTAATATTTAGCTTTCCTCACAGAGCTGGCTTCATTCCTTCCTTTCCTCATTCACAGCTGATCCTTTCTTCACCCACCTGTTTTTCTGTTCTGTTTTCCAGCATCGTGTGTCTCACATCTTGGATTCCAATATTGTCCTAGTCCTTTCTGAGGGCTTTCTAATTGAATGTGACACTGCCTCAAACTTACTTCTCAAAGAGGACGGCCTGTTCACCACTTTGGTGAAGACTCACAAGTAGACTCTCTCAATCCACACTGTTCACAAGACTTCTGGCTCTTTGGTAGTTATTTTTACCTCTTTAGTTTCCTTTCACTCTGCTTTCTTTCTACTGCACAGCTTCTGAGAGGAGAGTGCAAAAAGGTGTTTCTTGTGTGGTTCCTGGGTTTGTTTAATTTCATGACTATTTATGTGGATCATATGTAAATCTTAGACATGCAGCTGACACTGAAACTACCATGTCAAGGGAATCCAACCCATGAAGTGATCTCTGACTTTCAGCCTTTTTAGTGAAATATCACACTTTTAAGAGTTCATCCCATCTATACCTGACTGGCTCTATTCATATGGCCTTGAAATTAAGCTCAAACTGGTTTCAAACCTGTAGCCTATGGCATGAAACTTTTGCCTGGAGCACACTCAAATTGAATCTCAGAGGGATTTACAGAAGGCAATAGCCCAGGAGTGCACTGAGACAGATGGAGAGCAGTCTGCTGGGGTGCAGAGAACAAGGACCAGAGCAGGATGCTAAACCACCTGACACAGGATGCTTCTCATCCCTGTTTCCCACAGGGGAAGATGTATTTCAGTGGGGCCATAGGATTTATTCCAACAGCTGTGTTGTCCATAATGGCAAAAAGTGAAGTTCATGCTTAAGTATTTTCAGGCTTGGTGGCAGAGGCTGTAAAGTAATTGAAGATCTCTTCAAGTTAAAGTACAAGGATCTATTCCAAATATTGCTGTAAACAAGGACAGCCTTTCCCCTTGCGTGAGGCCCATTAGTGAGAATTATCCAAATGAAAACCTGTTTGCTTTCCTTCGTGGCAGCACCGGGTTCACACCATCCTCACTGCAGACCTGGTCATCGTCATGAAGCGAGGGAATATTCTGGAATATGATACTCCTGAGAACCTGCTTTCCCAGGAAGGTGGCATCTTCACTTCCTTTGTCCGGGCTGACATGTGAACAGCCACACAATGCATTTTAACAGCTTATTTTTAAACAGATGAAATGCAAATATTTTCTACTCAGTGTAATGTCACTTTTACCTTTTTTGTTTGGTTTTGTTTTTTAGAACTTCTTTCTCCACACTTTCGTCTTCCAAAATAATAAAGCCTATTGCAATACATGTATGCCTTGAAACAATAAAAATGTCACTTTATTCAAAGCTATTAAACTTCACACACACACACACACACACACACACAAAGGGAGAAGTTTGGCATTTTCCTTAGACTTTTTATTGACTTTATTTTTGTTTAAAGAGAGAAAAAGAATGCACTGATCTTATAAACTGCATATGTTATGCTGGAACCAGCAATCAAATAGTGCAGTTTGTCAAGGAAGCAAGAGGTTCCCCAGATGCATTCTGTCCCCAGAGGGAAAAATTAGGAAAAACATCCAAGCCCATAACACTTGGGGCAATCTGCTGCATTCCAAAGGCATAAACTTTGCTCTCCAAGTTGTAGCAGAGGGGCAGTGAATGAGGGAAAGGAATTTCATCAGGAATAAGGATATTCTTCCTGTCCTTCACTTTAGTAAGCACACTTCAGTCGTGACAGAACTATTTTCAGTGCAATGATGGTTTATTCCTACAGTCAGTTCCTAAATCCATATTCATTCTTCTAAATTTCACTAAAGATTCAAATCGTCCTATGATTATGCATGCTTTGATAAGCTTATAGAGGAATTTTGTACAGTATCTCAAGACTTTGCATTAAAAGTTATCTGAATTTATAAACTTGATATTAGCCAATCCTTTAATCATGTCTACTAAAATATTCTGCTTAAAATGGCATGTAATTAGCCAACCCCTAATTGTTTTATGTGTCTTTAGTCCTTCAAGTTATATTTGGGGACAGCCTTTATTTTCCTTTATATATTTGTGGCCTACATCTAAATCAGATCTAGTGCAAGGAGGTGTGATTTTCAAATTATTGCTATATCCTCAAGAATGTAGATGAAGTTAGACACATATTTACATCAGGCAGCTTTGCAAAGGTTGCCTGCACCCGACTTTCACACATAGCTTGATCCTGACCCATGGGCAGTAAACATCCAGAAGGAGTTTCACAGGCATATTTTCAATGGTATAGCTTTCAAGGTGTTTCTTATTCACCTGCTGCTACAACATTTAAGAAGACCACTAAGAGCACTTAAGCCTATTTATAGTGCATTAAAATAACATAAAGCACAGCATTTCCCCCCCCCCCCCAAAAAAAAAAAAAAAAGCAATAATTTTGGAGAAGTTGTAGAACTTGAAATTGGGCTTCCATTTAGTCTCACAGTGCAAAAAAATGATAAAGTTGTTTATCTTTTAAAATTGATTTTTGGAAATTTTTATTTTCTCTGAATTATTGAAAATAAAAACTGTGTGACACAACTAAACCAAAGAGCTCGGTCTTGAACATTTTATGAGGGGAAGTACTTCTGTGATTTCCCTGTCTGCCACTGTGAAAGCATTTTTGTTCTTTTCTGGATTAATTCCTCATGCTGACCTTTGTCATTCAAATAAAATACATTTTAAAAAAGCAGATGCCTGCAGCAGAAGCACATATTGTTATCCAAATTTCATGGCCAAAAGGCCAAAATTATTCTTGATTTAATTTAATTGTCTTCAGTGAAAAGATAATTGGATTCCCTGCTGTCAGACTGGGTATAAAGATGAAGCACAAAAAGTTTTGTTGACCTGTGTGTCTTTGATAGTAATGCAATCCTGATTTATTTTAAGTGGTGCCAGCCAGTTCAATGAGATCCATGTTCCCACTGCATTAAAGGTTGCCATGGGCCTGGGTCTGTGTCTTGTAATACTTAAGAGGGGCCAATAATTATCACCTCTTTTCTATTAGGTTTGTCCCAGAGCCATTGCAGGTGTGAGAAGCACCTTCTTTGCTCACCCCCGGCTTTAGAAGTGAACTCTGCTACTTGAACACGTAGAAAACAAAATAGATATGTGAGAAAAGGAATACATGATGGGGTGAGAGAACCTCATCATGTTCCATTTGTTTGGAGGGAGGAGTGCAGGAATATTGGCCCCAGTGTTAGATTCACCATGGCTGAAGCATTGGGTGACTGCTGCAGCGTGTCCCACTGCCGCCCAGCAGGTTTAAAAGCACAATCCCATTTCTAAAACATGAATCCTGTTCAACATACACAAATCTTACAAGACAACAAACATAAACCACCTGCTGCAGACACGGGAGATCTCCTCCCATTATAGCTGCTGTCCACAATTACAAATTCCCCAAGGGCTTAGGCTGAACATTTTTTGTGTTTTCCTCTAAAGGAGGAGGGTGTTGCCAATGGTTGCACAGCTGTTTTGTTACTGAAAAAGGTGCAGAAGGGATGAAATCTTTGAAAAAAATGTCTTATGATTTCATGTAAAGGTCTGAAGTGTGTTCTGTTTAGGGAGCAGTTTCCTAAGGCTGCCACATGCACAGTAAAGGAAACATCAGCCTGAAGACTCTTTCTTTGATTCTTGTCACACTGCCTCTTCTGCTGGTAGGCCCTTCTTCTCTTCCGCAGCCCTCTTGCTCTTTTTTCTTCACCATCTCCTTGTGTCATAGACCTTTGAGGCTCCTGCTTTTATCTCTGGATTCTCCTTATTCTGCCTATGCCCTTCCACTCCTTCCCAGGTGAGCCCCATGCCCTTTGCCCCATTTCCTCTCTCACACAGCTCTGCACTCACGCTCCTTTCCTCTTTCCTGTCCTTCTTTCATAACACCCCCGCTCTTCAGGGGAACACTTACTCTAGTGACATCGTGTTTTGGGGTTGGTTTGTTTTTCTAAGCATTAAACCAAGCAAGCTTTCAGTATTGTGATACTGTGCTTCAGAAATATGAAGTTCTTCTTTCTTCAAAGGAGCTTTAAATGTGAGCACTGGCTATGTGTAAATTTAACTATGGACAGAGGAAAGACATCTCTGTGACAGATTCTAAATAATATTTCTCATTCCATCTGCATTCTTTTTCTGTTAACTGTTTCTGGGAGAGAAACAGCAAAGTTGTTGCTGATCGTAGAATCACAAAATGGTTTGGGTTGGGAGGAACCATAAAGCTCCTCTTGTTCCACCCCCTGCCATGGACAGGGACACTTTCCACTATCCCAGGATGCTCTGTGCCCCATCCAACCTGGCCTTGGACACTACCACAGATGGGGCAGCCCCAGCTTCTCTGGGCAATTTGTGCCAGTGCCTCATCACCGTCACAGGGAAGAATTTCTTTCCAATATCCAATCTAAACCTACACTCTTCCAATCTGAAGCCCTTCCCCCTCCTCCTACCACTGCACTCCCTCACAGAGTCCCTTCCCATCTTCCCTGCAGGTCCCTTTTAAGTACAGAAATTGGTTGTGCAACTGCTTGTGGAGCCACAACAGTATTTCTTAACCTTTGGCTTACCCATGGGTACTTTCCCACTCCTTGAGCCAGGCCTAAGGGCTGGCACAGATCAAACTGCTCCCTTCCTGTATGTGGCCTTTTGTCACACTCATTGCAACTCATGACAGCTCATCCCTGCTTCTTCTAAACTAGAAATATCCCATAAAACCTCTACTGAGCTCAAACTTAATTGTGCTAGGAAACACTGGAACTTTCCCTGAGCAGTTTGGATTAGCTCAGTTAAGCCAGGGGCATAAGCAAGGCAAAGTCTGCAGGGAGAGATCTCTGCTTTGTTAGGCCAAGTGACACGTACAAGAGGTATCTCAAATGTTTGTAAGTTCCAGTCACACTGCAGACCTGAAAAAGCTCTTTATTTGTAAGAGTGTGCCTGTTTTTCTCAACCGTATCGTTCAGCTGAAAGAGTATGTTCTCCATCGCTTCTCAAGCAGTTGGACAAGCCCCTTTTAGGTTTGTTATAGCAGAACATCTCTGCTGTAAATTCATACACCTCTATGGAACTCAGTTAGTACCAACAGGAACATAGCCCTAAGAAGTCTGCAACTCATTATGTATAAAACCTCTGCAAAAAACAATAATATTGAATTGTGTTTTCTTAAAATAGAAATACAATTTCAAATGTGGTCAAGTAGTAAAAATTCCTTGTACAATAAGTTGTTTCATTTAATTGAGTGTGTTCTTTTTGCTTCCCAAAGCAATGGACTGCTGTGCTTTATTGTGTAAAGATGTCAATACATTCAAAGGCAATCTGGTTAATGCAGCATGAAAAACTGAAGGAAATCTCACACGAGCATTTTACACAAATGCTTGTAGATATTTTAGCAAGAAAAAAAAGGAAATATAACACACTTGAGTCAACAGCTACCTTTATAAAAAAGCTGTTGACAGGGGCCATATCTTCATTATCATGTTTCCATTATCCACTGTCAGAAATTGGAGTATGTTCCCCTTGGAAGCACTATAACCCCATGTCCTCAGTGTGATACTGCCAGTCAAAATCAACTGTAAAATATCCACTGAAACCACAGTGACACTTGTAAAAACCTCTCTGGAGCAATGATTCTCCCTCTAAATGTGATTAAAAGCAACAATTAACTCAGCATATTTGTATCCTCAAGTAGCATCTTCTGAAAGCCTTATTTAAAATCAAAATATGTTATGTAAATTCTCTGATATGAATTCCATGGTTGCATGTGAAGAACTCCTCAGTTTCTTTGGAAACTAAATCCTTTCAGAGGCAAAACTAAGAGACTACTAAGAAAAGTCTGAAAACAAAACTGTAAATCAAATTATTTGTTGCCATGCAAACATCCCAATCATTTCCACACTGGTTTTTTACTGCTCTGTTTTTTCTCCACCAGAATTGATCTCTCTGCAGAACTGTGGGGAAAGACTATCAGGTATTCAAATGATGAAAAAAATTGTTGTGAGGCAGAAGTTCGCTGACTCGTACAAATTAGCAACTTGTTGCTGTTTTGTTTTGGCAGCACAGTATTAAAGTATTGGCTTGAATGAAGCCAAGAAAATCCAAGTATAGTCTGTCAAGAGAAGAGAGACTTTTAGAAAATCTTTTTACTACAGTTACTGTTAATTATTCACTATTGATAGCATTTGTCTACTGCTAGATACTACCCATGGAAACAGAATAGACACTCCTGGCAGGTGCTACCCATTTCTCTAATATAATATACCACATTCTGAACACTATAAACAAGCAGTTATTTAAAATATAATTTTTAATTGGTTTCTATTAGGTGTAATTGTCATTCATCACGTGCAAGATGCCTCCTTTCACTTCCATGGAACACAGGGATTTTCATCCCATGATCTGTTATATAACAAAACATCATCCAGCACACTGCACATTTCAGTGGCCACTGCAATTCATTCCCATGTATGTATATTAGTCTGCTTTATACATAAATACATTACATGGTTATACAACCTTTGGATTAAAGGTATAAGTAAATAATGAACATTCCCAGCTAGGACTGCCCAGAAGAGTTCCTCATAGCTATTACCAGGACATTTCTTAACTCTCCCTTTAATTTATTTCAGGATTTTCAGGCTATATCCATAAATATCACTTCAATGTGCAGTAAAATATTTAACCATGTTAACTAAGGAACTAATGCAGCTTCCTGTAAATGACATGGTCCAGAACCTCCACCCTTCAAGAGCACAGCTACAGACGCCCCAAGGCAGCATATTCTTCCATATTTAATGGTTATATGTGGTTTTATTCTACCAGCCACATTAGGCCCTTACTCTTTCAGCAATATGACTTCTCCATCAGAGGCATGAAGGTGGGAGCCTAAGAATCTCTGAGTACTGCAGATTTTCATGGCTGAATAATTCAGATTTGGGGCCATCTATTTCTTCAGGTCCCACCACAGCATCTGAGATTTGAGGGCTTGGAGTTGTCAGATATTGTGTGATAAGAAATGAACGTGAGACATGGCATCTCTCTTCTGTCATTGGCATAATCTTAATTTAACCCTGGAACAGCCAGTGAGCCAGGGAGGGGAAGCACCTAAGGGACACCACAGTCTAGGAACACAGCTAGAGACTCACTGGAACCATGTTCAACCCACTTAGAAACTGATTTACAGTCTTCCCATAAATTATGGCATGGGGAGGCAAGGAAACAGTCCCAAACTGGGGTTGCTCTTCCCAGAGCCCTAGGATAAACTCCAGGAAAAGGCATGTAATGAACAACAAGCTTCACTATGCAACTTACACTGGACAAGGGGCACTAGTTACATGAATTTGGATGATAAAAACAATTTTTGTCCTACTGCTCTTGCATAAAACTGGGGGGGGAGGGGGGCGAGGGGGAGCAGGGTGGGGAAAGAGCTGGGGCAGGGTAACAGATGCCCTTAGTTTGCAGTTTCTGCTCTTTCATGTTTGATAGATGTCCTGCCAGCTCATGTAGGGAAGAGTTCACCCACGCTATCTGAATATGGCTTATCAGCTTTGTGTCTCTGTGGAAGCCTTGCTCTAAGTGCATGACATCTCTGGACGCCTGTAAAGTCATCCTATCTCTAAGCTAAGATTAGAATTTCAAACAAAACTTATTACAAAGCAGGATTTTCTGAAAGGGCTGGACAGGGCTATAATATGGAAATTTCAGATTCATGTCTAAGCGCGTTATTTAATCCCGATTTTTAGATAGGCATAATTTAAAGTGATACTTACCATAATATCAGTAATGCTTGTGGGTGGAGGGGAATGAAACAGCAAGAAGGAGACACATGAAGGGCCGTAAGAAAACTGGACCTAAAACTGTCATCAATTCTGATAATTTTTTTTTTTCCTGAAAAGGCTGTGTTCACAACACTCAGACACTCTGTTCCTTACCAAATGGGTTAGGAGATGTTTTAGGAGATTTTCCCAGCTATTACTTAAATCTCAGACTCAAGGGTGCATGTGGCAACCAAGCGAGAATTTAAAAGGTCAGAGGGCAAGGGTTTTAGTAGCTGTCACTCTCCAGAGCATATTCATAGACTGGAACTTGGAGAAATGGATGCTGTGCTCAGAATCATGGCTGGAGCTCCTGATCCTCACATCCCTGTAATCATGGCCCAGCAGGCTTCCTCAAAACTCATCTCCAGTAGAAGTGAGGAGGAAGGCATCTCTTTCAGTATCAAACAGGCAGAGAGGAAAAGATGGGATCTTGTGAGCACTTTTTCCTGCAACGTGTGATGATGGGTGAAAGGATCAGTAACTTTTGTTCAGCCACACTGGGGCTGTGCCAGGACTATTTGTGTGTGTTTGATGGATCCTTTCCTATCTCAGCTACAAGAATTTCAGCCTCTACATGGTGCCCAGTTAAGGGGGAGGAAACCTCAAGCAGGTTAGTGGGGAACATGTGAGCCTGAGAGCTCACAGGGAACTCCTGACAGTGCCAGTGCTGGCATCAGTTTCTGTTCCACTTGAGTAGCTCAAAGAATGTTGCTTCTTACTCCCACTCGCCCTTAAAGATGGGCTTGATCCATTTTTCCAAACTAGCTGTTAATCCACACACTAACTATATGTCACACAGTTGCACTCACTACCAGCAGAGATGGGGTGGGGAGCACAGCAGCAGCTTGAGGGGTTGAGTGAGATGGGATGAGGCTGAAAACAGCAACACATGTGGGTTTATGCCCTGAAGTGGCAAGTAAATAAAACATTTCTTGGTGTTTATGTGTCCTCAATTATAAAGCAGTGGATTTCAAGAACTTCAGAGAAAACTGTGCAACTGGGCATGTGGCATGAGCTAATTTGTGTCAGAAGCAATGTCATACAATTCAAGGATTTCATGAAGAAGTGAGGGGTGGGAAGTGTTCCATGCAGTTCCCAGACAGTTATTTTTTGAGTTGCACCTAGCAGCTGTACTGGGGAACACCAATCTTGTTTCTAGCCCTAGAACAGAACAAATACTTCACTAACCATGGAGCAAAATGGGAGAAGGGCAGAGGAAGAGAATAAGGTAAAGGGAAAAAGGGAAAGGGAACTGATATTAAACCAGTTCTTTCCAATAGTTACATCAAAGTAAGATGCAGTTTTGGGGCTGTATGAAACAAATGAGTCAGTCCCTCTAGAGCTGTCTCTGCCACCTCATTTGCAGAAGGATAATGTCCCAAGTTCTCCAAGCCCGGCCCATGAAGTGCCACACACCAACAATGCTGACCCTGC